GGAACCGGTCTGTATGTGGGATCCGAACCCTCGGCGGGAGTGCCACTGTGCTCCCAAGTGGTGCACTGTGCACCACTGGGCCGGCCCCTAAAAAGTAAATCTTATTAAATTATTTTTATTAAAAGAATGTTAAGAATTTTATACAGTCTGTATGTGGGATCCGAACCCTCGGCGGGAGTGCCACTGTGCTCCCAAGTGGCGCACTGTGTGCCACTGGGCCGGCCCCTAAAAAGTAAATCTTATTAAATTATTTTTATTAAAAGAATGTTAAGAATTTTATACATGGATAGTGCTCTTAAAATGACTATATTATGTAAGGTATAATAACCTATATCTGAAATTCCTCTAAAGACACATTAGTGACACTGTTTTGGAGAAAAACCATGAAATAAATGTAATTCTTAAAAATTTTATGATGAATTCAACAGTGTAAAATCTAAAATAAAAAATCCTCAATCCCAGTATCTTTGCAGGTAGAAAGCCAAACACTTCAGGTTTCCTGGACTTTAGAAATATTAGTCAGCACTAAAAAATACATGGCTGATTAATCATAAAAGGAGATATATGTGGTTCTGGAAAGCCATAGTTACTGATAAAAGTATAAACAACTTTGCTTTTGTTTTCTTAAAGTGATGGCTAGTCTAGGTTAAATGTAGCTGACTTAGTCCACTGGATTAAAACTGTAAGAATTAAATTCTTATACATTCCAACCTTACTGTTTGGCTTAGGTTTAAAAAAAAATCTTAATTTGTTGAAGACTTGGGAAAGCTACTGAGTTAATTAAAAGTAAGTCGAAATTTGTGGAATTTAATCTTTTAAAAAACAAATTAATGATGACTAGACGCTGTCTATTATGTTAATTGATGAATTATTATGTATATTGACTTAAGGCTAAGCATTGATGAAAATTTTCACATTTCCTCTTTTCTGAAAACATAAGGATGATAATTGAGAAGTATGAATTGTAGATAGGAAGTGCTTGAAAATCAGGCATTTGAACTGCCTCCAGCCTCTTCTGTGGTATGGCCAGTTTTAGTTGTTTTGATAAATTACGTCCTGTCGTTTTTAAGTCCATAAAACTTTAGCATTCCATTTATCAATTATAGTTTGTATTGTTATTGTACATTATATGATGAAGCTTTTTAACACAGCAGAACTTTACTTAATACTCTAGTCATGCTATCAGTTAATCTAGTCCGTATACTACTCATGGATGATGATATACTTCTAAAACGTCTTGATTTTTAAAAAATTCTACAGTTTTGTAACAAAAGAGTTTTCAAGCTTCCTTGTTGAGTTTCATTCATAGTCAGTGTATATAATAGGTTAGAATTGGGGCCTAGAAATTAGGTCTAGTGATGGAGTACTGAGTATTCATTGTTTGGTGGTCATAAGTCAAGTACAAAGCTGTATAGGACTATTTTCAGAAAACATATCAAGCAAATGAATTATGTTTCTAATGGGTGCTATGAAATATGCCTGTGCAATGATGAGATATTCACAAACCACACCTAAATATTGTTCTTGTTATTTTATAAAAAGGGGGTGAGTATTTCTAAAAGAATGTATGATTTGGATCATTGGTGATACCAGAGTCTATATTCAGTGCACACCCAGAAATCCCATCAAAAGCTTAGAAAGGAAAATTTGGTAAAGGTCATAAAAGTTTTTTTTTCTGTTTACATGTAAATTGCCTTTCAATCAGTTAAAACTTCCTTGGTGCCCAGATTGTGTCTCCAAATATATCATTTTCTCTAAAAGAAACTTAAGAGTCCCTGTAGAGAAGGCTGATTGCAGGTCATCGGGGTCAGGACACAAGAGGCAAGACTGGGGCATCCTGTTCTGCCAGACAGCAGAGTGCTACCTGTGACCCCTGGGACGTGGGGGTCACAGACAGGCCTGTGAGGGTCAGCAAGGACAATAACTGCTGCAGGGGGTTGAAAAGTATCAATATGTTTAAATCCAGGAGTTCAACATGATCGCAAAACTAATTGAATACTTAGGGTGTGCTTAGGAGACAAATGAAAAGATCACAATCTATGGGCCATGTTGGGGTCCTGATTCAGGCAGACTAGTTAAATAAAATCTACGACATGAGGCAGTTGGAGACTTGAACACTGACTAGATGTTTGTGATATTAAGAAATTACTATTAACTTATTTTAGCTGTGATAATGGTATTAAAAAAGCAAAATCCTTATATTTTGATAATATACTGAAATAATTATATCTTAGATTTCCTTCCACATGAGTGGGGTTATACGTAAAATGAGATTGGCTGTAGTAGACAATTATGGATGCTGAATAAGGGGCGCTTGAAGTTTATATACCATTCAGGATACTTATGCATTTGTTTAAAGTTTTCTTTAACAAAATCTTAAAGAAGAATTAACTTAAATTTGGACCTATAGAGATTTGTAAAAAACATTTAAAAATTGATGAGTTTTTTACTCATAAGAAAAGGCACTAAATTTTAAATATGTGCTTTTTGTTTTTTTTAGGGTATTATCGGTCTCTGTATTTGTTGATTAACAGCAAGCTTCCATCAAGTATTGAATATTCTGATTTATCTCGCGTTCCTATAGCAAACATTTTACTAGAGAATGTCCTAAAACCGTTGCACTTTACTTACAACTCCTGTCCAGAAGGTGCAAGGTGAGAATGGAGTAGATTTACTGAATTTGTCATTTCACAAGACCTGTATTTAACAGTAACTTTTACATGTGACCCTGTTTTGAATATAGACTGGAAAGTCAAACTTCTACTTTATTGATGTGACTTAGTTTATAGAAAAATGTACTTTTCCTACCTGGCCTGCAACCCAGTAGAAATCTATAATTCTGATAACCTGGTTATTTTTGTGTTTTCTAGTAGCTGTCAAAAGATACAAAAGCATGGTAGAGTTATCTTGATAGAGAAGACATAAAATTAAGCTCATTTCAGGTTGATCAAGTTGATATTAAAATTATGTTAGTTAATTTAGCATAGTAGATCTATTTAGAAGGATATTTTGAAAGATAATTTTAATCAGCAATTTGATTAACAATATATTTTGATTTTATAAAAAGCTTCCACTTTTCTTTCAGGCAGCAAGTGTTCACAGCCTTCACAGAGGAGTTTCTGGCAGCACCTTTTACAGATCAGATTTTTCGTTTCTTCATTCCGGCATTAGCAGATGTACAGACCGTTTTCCCTTACGAGCCCTTTCTGAATGCACTGTTGTTGATAGAGAGTAGATTTTCAAAAAAGAGTGGTGGAGCACCGTGGCTTTTCTATTTTGTTTTAACTGTTGGCGAAAATTATTTGGGTATGAAATACAAGATACATTTTACCTGTGCTCACACATAGGTAGCATCAGCAGTTAGTCGAGAGAAGGCCATGCAGTGGCAAGTGTTGTGTTGTGAAGATCCAGGGTATGGGAGGGTCTCTTGTATGAGTGTATTTGCTGAGTGGTCTGGGCAACATCGCTGGGAAAGTGTCCAGGCACAGTAAAAAAAAAAAAAAAAAGTCTGATTTAGACACATATCTTATAAGACCACTCAGATTAAAAGTATCGGGGGTAAAAAAAAAAAAAAAAAAAAAAGTCTGATTTAGACACATATCTTATAAGACCACTCAGATTAAAAGTATCTACAGAGTTTAACGGGAGAAGTCTTGTGAGAGCGGGGATGTTTCCCTGCTTTTACTAAATTTTTTATGTGCCTATTCTAGAATTACAGCATCTTCTTCTGGTATATTTTAATACATACATATATATACACACAAATTCTTAGTGTAAAGAGATACAGGAAAGGGCCGGCCCGGTGGTGCACTCGGTAGAGTGCGGCGCTTGGGAGCACAGCAGCACTCCCGCCGAGGGTTCGGATCCCATATAGAGACCAGTCCGCTCACTGGTTGAGCGCGGTGCGGGTGTGGCACCGAGGGTTGCGATCCCGTTGCTGGTCACGGTGCAGGCGCGACACCGAGGGTTGCGATCCCGTTACTGGTCACGAAAAAAAAAAAAGACCAAAAAAAAGGGAAAAAAAAAAAAAGAGATACAGGAAAAAACAAACTTTTTCCTACTCTCACACTCAACACAGCACACTTCTGTGACCAAATATGTGAGGGTTTTCTCCACACACCAAGCAGTTCTTCAGTGGATACAAACTGGGTATCCTTTAATTCAATTCAATCCTGATGCTATTAGATAGCATCAAATCCCACAGGTTGAGGGCTCAATCCCATAAGACTGTCCCCACTTTAGACATCATTTGCAAGTCATAGGTTGTCACCTACACTTCTGACCAACCAGCAAATATTGTGGTTTCCCATGACCTCTTTTGGGTTTGGTAATTTGCTAGGATGGCTCACAGAACTCAGGGAAACACTTCACTTACATTTACGGATTTATTGTAAAGGCCCAATGAAGAGATGCATGGGGCGAGGTATGTGGGAAGGGGGTGCAAAATTTCCATGCCTTCTCTGGGCACACTACCCAGCCAGCACCTCCATGTGTTCAGCAACCTGGAAGGTCACTGAGTGTCGTTGAAGAGTTTTTATAGAGCTTAACCTTCCATCTCTACTTCCCCTTCCTGGAGGTTGGAGTGTGGAGCTGAAACTTATAACCCTCTAATCACTTGATATTTCTGGTTACTGGCCCCATCCTAAGTCAGCCTAAGTGTTGTGAATAACAAGAGACGCTCCTGTCTTTGGGGACATTCCGAGGGTGCTCTGTGACATGAACCAGGGACGAGCACCAGATATATTTCATATTATAGCACAGTTTGAATTTTAAAAATAAGTTCTGGTCAGATATGTCTCTCTGTGTATGAGAACAATGATACCTGCATTTTCCATTTTTAAAAAAACCTTTTTACTAAAATGTGTTATAACTGATTGTTTTACAAAGGAACCCTCTCTGAGGAAGGCCTGCTGGTGTATTTACGAGTTCTCCAGACCTTCCTCTCTCAGTTACCAGTCTCACCTGCCAGCGCGAGCTGCCAAGACTCAGCCAGTGACTCTGAGGACGAGAGTGAGGAAGCTGACAAGCCCCCGAGCCCGGTAAGCCCCTAGTGCCTCATGTCCGTGAGGCTGCACCATAGGAGCTACCTCTGACTGTGCAGGTACTTCTCTAGCTCTCTGTCCACCCTTATGTTTAGTTGCATGAGTAAGACTTTCAGGTAGTCTGGTTAGTCATTCAGCTTTACAGATAAGCCCCCACCATTCTCTTTCCCAGTAACTGGACCTGTCTGCTTCCACACCTCTCTCTCTGCATCTGTGGAAGTGTCTATAAGATACAGAGTTTTGTGTTTGCTTTTTATCCAGAATTGAGTCATAATGTATATTAATTTAATTATTACTTAGGAAATATTTTTTAGAAGTGAAATTGTTGGGTCAAAATGTTATGTACTTCTTACCCTATCCTGTGAACACTGAGTAATGTCTTTATTAGTTTCTGCTAATTTTACAGTGGATAAGTGTTATGATTTATTTTTAAATTACTTTTAAGTACATTGTCTAATGTTACCTTTTAACCCCTTCTTCCTTTTCTTTCTTACTATTAGGAGTTTACTGTGTATTTTCAAGGAATAAAAAGCTTTAAAATTTGATATACACACACATACTTTGTGTGTTTTGTTTAAGGGATTCATCTGCCACTGACCTTTTTTTCTCTTAAACAATTGAAATGGCTTGAGGTATGGCTATAATAGGTTATTAAATGTTTTTTTGTTAAGGAATGTTATATTGATTAATATTAAGCCTATTCCCAAAATATATTTGAGAATGGCTCAGGTTTTCCAGGTGAAGCAAATTTAGAGAGTCAGGAAGTGAAAAGGTGTGTTAGTACTATATTTTCTGGATATGAACAGTTCCATTAGCATAGAATGAAAAAAATCACAACAATGGGAGAAGGAAAAACAGGTTACTCGTTGCCAGGGTTTATCGCTATGGGAAAGGTTTGATTACAAAGGGATGGAATGAATTTTTTGGTGCATGCTGGAACTGTTGCATCTGTTAAAACTCAGAGCTGTACACCAAAAGGTAAAAATTTTGTTGTCTGATCAAAAAAGAGTAGGGTTCTGTGATGGAATGTAGATAAAATTTTTGTTTTTAGAGGAAAGATAACTTTTTAGTACTCAATTGCCTTCCAGAGAATCTGTAAAATTATTATTATTTTTTTCCTTTTTTTTTTTTTTTTTTTTTTTCTTTTTTTTTTTTTTTTTTTCTTTTTTTTTTTTTTTTTTTCTTTTTTTTTTTTTTTTTTTCTTTTTTTTTTTTTTTTTTTCTTTTTTTTTTTTTTTTTTTCTTTTTTTTTTTTTTTTTTTCTTTTTTTTTTTTTTTTTTTCTTTTTTTTTTTTTTTTTTTCTTTTTTTTTTTTTTTTTTTCTTTTTTTTTTTTTTTTTTTCTTTTTTTTTTTTTTTTTGTCTTTTTTCGTGTCCGGCAACGGATCGCAACCCTCAGTGTCGCGCCCGTACCGGACCGGACCGGGACCGGCAACGGGATCGCAACCCTCAGCGTCACGCCCGCACCTTGCTCAGCCAGTGAGCGGGAACCGGTCTGTATGTGGGATCCGAACCCTCGGTGGGAGCGCCGTCACGCTCCCAAGCGGCGCACTGTAGCAGTGTGCCACCGGGCCGGCCCAGAGAATCTGTAAAATTAAAGATTTATTTGTACACAATATGTTTTACATCCATGTGAAGATGAGGCTGTGGCTTTGCTGGCGTGAGTAATGACAAGGCCTTCCTCGCTGTGGATGTACACACACGGTGAAAGCAGAACGCCAAAACCCAGGAGACAGAAAAGAACCTGTGGGCTTGCTTGTGCCTACACTTCTAACATTTAAAAAGCAGGATCAGTTTTTTATTTTATTTTATTTTAATTTATTTTTTGGCAACTGGCCAGTACAGGGATCTGAACCCTTGACCTTGGTTTTATAACATTGCGTTCTAACCTGTTTTTTTAACCGGCAAGCCCCTTACATAAAGGTTTTAAGGTTTTTCTGTTATATAACAGTAAACTTTAATTTCTCTTTTTCATTTATTTTCTTCATTTTTCCCTTGCCTTGGGTTTTGTTTCTTCTTTTCTGTCCACATTTGGGTTGAGAACTAATGACCCAGTTGTGAGTCAGGTACTCATAGGTTTGACTTCAAATCATTCTTTATTTCTGGGCCAGATCTTTTATGTCTGTATTTATGTGTTGCCTTTTCTTTCCTGTGATATGTAATCAAAGGGTCAAAGTTCACCCTTTATAAAGATCACCCTTTTGTTGTTTAGGTTTCCATATAATCTGTTCACTTATTGTTTATGTATAATGTGTTTTAAAATTGTACACTACAAAAATAGAAGTACTGGGATAGTACTCTTGTTCTAACATACCTTTTATTAGATGTATCTTAAAGATTCAAGTTTGACAGATGAATTTACTATTTTTATCTCCGAAGCAATGTTTTCTTTGGTAGAGTATTATAAATTACATAAATTATATCCATCCAAATTTGCAAAGAGTATAGCCAGCAATACCCAATGTCACGTATATTCATATTTATATATATTCATATATATATATGTATACATGAAAAAAAGTATATATCTTTGGATAATATACCAAATGAGTTAATTGCATATAGTATTAGCTTAGGTTTTTTTCAGTGAATCAGATCTTGTAGAGAAGTTAAGATATAAAATAGATTTATTATGCATGTCCTTTGATTTAAAAAGAAAAAATTTAATATCCTCACTTATTTTGCTGAAACTGCAATCTCAAATAACTTAATGTGGAATGTCATCAGATGAAAATATAGTTTCACTATGTATGCTGTCTTAGTACAACTCTTATCTAAAAAATATGAAATGAATTTTTCTTAATATGTAAATACTGAAAATATTGTCACATCAGTAGGCAAGAACTGAGTATTCACAGTTCCTGTGTTATCGTGCTGGCGAAAATTGATGCATCCTGGTGACTGTGGATCTCTAGATTCATAGATTCACTATCTTCACATTACTTTAATGGATACATTAGTAGAGATATTGATAAGTTTGTTGTGATGTGGATAATTTTTAGATAATCTTGTATTTTCACTGGCAGAAAAATACAGTTTTATGTGTGTTTGTAGTGTAGAGGCAAGTTCTAATAGAACATCATTAACTTAGACTAATTTTCCTGGTGTGTTTTAGGAGGATGGTAGACTGTCAATACCATACATAACAGAGGAATGTCTGAAAAAGTTGGATACTAAACAGCAGACCAACACCCTGTTGAACCTGGTGTGGAGGGACTCGGCCAGTGAAGAGGTGTTCACGACGATGGCTTGCATCTGCCACACGCTCATGGTGCAGCATCGCATGATGGTGCCCAAAGTCAGGCAAGTCGGCTTCAATGTGAAGTTGCTGTCCTCCCCAGAGGTTCACTTTGGTCTTAATCTGGATCAGGTTTAGCTGCTGTTTTCTGATAGAATATTTTACTCTCCAAGCATTTCATAGAAAAATAAAGTTTGTTTGTTTTTCTTTTCTAAACCAGCTAATAGTGGTTGAATCCTTTTCCTGGCATGTGAAGCTTTGAAGTGCCCTGTATGTAATATTTAAATCAAATGAGCTTCTATTTCTGTAGTCCTTACCACCCATTTTAAAAGTTGGGCTCATACGTACATTGTAGAACCAACATATTTTTTTAGGTTTTTTCAAGCACCCATTTTTTTTTAAATCAGATTGTCCTTGACAATTTACTCTTGTAAGTAAGTTTTTGTTTTTCAAAAGTTGGAAATAAACTTTTGGTTGGGACAAAACAAAATATACAAATTAAAAATGTAGCTAATTTGTGCTTAAATAATTGTGACAGTAATCTTGAACTGTTTTCTTTCCCTCCATTTTGAGTGATAGTTTAGTGGTTTCTTGAGAATTTAATAGAAAGATATTTAATTGTATACAGTGCAAAAAATATGTAGTGGTCCTACTGGACCTGAGGGCCTGATGTCACACAGGCAAACTGCAGAAAGGCACCATCAATAAATATGTCCCACAGTGATTCATGTTACCCTACAGAATTCTCTGTTTTTATAAAATGCCATCTCATAACATGTGAAGAGTAGTGTCTTTTGGTTAAGAAAGCATTCTTTGAAATGAACTGTAAGTGAGGGACGCATCATCGTTGAAATTGCCTTGTAAACACTAATGCAGCCGACTAATGAGGTGCTATCTTAGCTCACTGGTGTTTATTACCATTGGAGGAAGTAAGAGGGCAGTGAAGATGGGACCCCTCGATTAGGTAATTAGCTCTTTGTAGGCTAATTGCATGAGAGCAGGATGTGAGATCTGAGGATCCTAGCAGCTGAACCAGGACACTGGCTTTTATTGTAGCACAGAGTCCATTGCTTGGGATAGCAATTACTGGATTTAAATGCATCACTGCCCTGGTCTGAGGTTTACTCGTGAGCTGCTTCCAAAAGGTGTTTAATGGGTAAAGGAGCTCTCTATGTAGCTTGATTTTATGAGTACAGCACCTATTTCCTCCAAAAAACTACTCTAGGAATTTTATTTATGGCTTAAATATATTAGGTTTTAAGTATTTAGAGTGTTTTTTCATAGCTCATGAAAGAGCAAGTGGGCTTACTTTAACAGTTGTAGATTTTAACTGCTTTCCATTTTGATTTTTAAAAAAGTATTTAAACGATGATTATTGTATTCTTAGGTTGATAACTCATTCTCGACACCTTCCTGGCTCATATTAGTTCCTCTTATTTTCAGAGTTGTGATTTGCAGTTTTAATTTGTGTTTAACTGATTGTCAGGATGTATAAAGGAATATGGAAGTCTTTCTTACACTGAAAGATTTCAATGTGGAAAGATTTCCAAGACAGATGTTTATATGAAAAAAGGAAGATATAGAACAATGTGTATAATAACCTACATTTTGTGTAAGAAGGGTAGAAAAATAAGAATGTATTTGTATTTGCATAAAGAAACTTGGAAGCATATACAAGAAATTTATACAAATGATTTTATCATGTGTCTGCATATGCTAGGGGGTATAGGGCTGGAGGTGAGAATGATCTTTTAACACTTTTAAAAATATTTTTTGGAGTTTTAGATTAGGTTAGTGATTTAAATTGTATTTTGATTAGTTAAGTAGTAAATGAGTTGCCAGTTCCCTTTTTGAGAGGAAATTTGTATATCTTACCATTGAACTCGGAAATCTGAATAAAATTTGGATTTAAAATTATTTTTTCCTTAAGAAAATATACTCACTATTTTTAAATATGAATAAATGTTAACTGGTTGTTTTGTGAGGGGGGAAAAATGAAGGTGCTATTGTAATATCTAGAGAACTCAAGGTAGAAAGTAGGATATTAAGTAGGTGCCTAAAGATAGCCTGTTTGAAAGTGTTCAGCTTCAATCCTGGCAGACTTAGAATTTTAGGTGGATACTATTTTTGTGTTTTATTGAATGGGTTTGTAGTCCTCGTTTACAGATGTTACACACTGAGACGAGGACTGCTGTGCTTCTTCAGCCCCTCCGGCTCGCCCCAGTCTGTGTGGCTGCTCATTACAGTGTCTCGTAGACGGCCCTGCAGCCGCTCATGCTAGTGCTGCATGGACAGCCCTATGGCCACTTGTGACGGTGCCATGTAGACAGCCACCCTGTGGCTGTGACACTGCTGTTTAGACGGCCCGACGGGGCTCCAGCAGCTTGGCCAGAGGTTTTCCTGAATTATGGGGCTTCTGCATGGCATTGACACTCCTCACCTGTCCTTTCCTTGGCCCTCTTTTACCTGTTCTCTTCACACACACTGTGTTCTCATGATTTTTCCTTTACTGTTAGGCAGCTTCTTCTCAGTTTCCTTTGTGGGTTCTTTTTCTGTGTTTCAGTGTTTTCTAAATTTCTTAAACTTCTTTTTCTATTCAGTTTTTTAGTTCTTTTCCTTCAGTTGATTGTCTGGGTAATCTCTTTCATACAAATGGCTTCAGCTCTCTTCCAGTGACTCCTAAATTTGTATCTTTAGCCTAATAACTTTCTGGAGCTCCAGGCTCATATTCATGTGCTTAATAGGAGATGTCCTCTGGGATCTGCCCTCAGACTCCTGACACATTGTCTAAAATTTAACTCAGCGTCTTTCCCCAAGAACCTCCTCTTTCCATCCCTATCTTGTTCACTTAGTTGTCTGTGCCCAAGCGGTGTCCTGCATGGTAGTCACTAGAGACATTTTACATTAAATTAATATAAAAACAAACACAAAGCCAGTTCCTCGGTCACACTGGCCACGTTTCAGGTGCTCAGGAACCTCATGTGCCCAGAGCATGTTTGTCTTCTCAGGAAGTTCAATTGGGCAGCACTGCCTGTGGGTCTGGGCTTAGAGTCACAGTCCCCACATGCGTTCAGTCACCATGATGTGTCAGAACTGTAGTCTTTGTATCAGGTTTTGCTAAACTGAATCGTCAAACATACAGTCCTAATTATCCATTCTCTTGCGTGAACATCCACCAGTGGGCCTCTGTGCTTTCAGGAAGAGCTTCTCATCCCTCACAGGACTGATTTGTGCTGTGTGCTTTTGTTGTCGAGCGTTTGGTTACCTCTTTAACTTTCTTTCTGGCCACAAAATACTGTTTTGCCCCAGTCATGCTTAATTAATTACATGCTCCTGACCCCACTATGCTGGTTTAATGCCTTCATGGTGTTTCATGGCTTCTGTCCTTTTGCGTGTGCTTGTTTCTGTCCAAAGTGCCTCTTCCTGCCTACTTTCTAACACTTGGGTGGGCAGCAGGCTGTGCCTCCAGGCTTGGCTCAGCTCAGCTGGGCTCGGCTCAGTTCAGCTCGGCTTTGAAATGGAATTTTAAAGGTAGCATTTTAGGGATCAGAAAGATGGATATTATAATTCGTCTATAGTTTTCACATAAATGCATCAAATATAAAGCATCACAAATCAATTTTACTTCAGCACATGCTTGATTTTTTCACCTAAAACTAATAGAATGAGCCAGCTTAATTTTGTCTTGTGTTATTAATCATTGTCATATAGATAATTGTGTGCCCTGGAAATGTAGCACTATTTCCTCATGTGTTACCTTAAGCCCAGTTAAGTGTGCACTGATAGGTAATGAATACGCTTTAGCTCTTGATTTATAAGTTCATATCTCATGCTTTAATAGTTTGGGATAAAATTATTATGCAAATGACATAGAGAAAAATGCAGATTTGTGTTTCATTGTATATGCAGCATTAAAGATTATATACTGTTCATGTGTTGGTAAACACAAAAAAATTGAGGATATACCTGGAGAGAGAAAAATAAATTTATTTCTTTGCTTATAATTTCGTGGTTGCTTTTATTATTGATGATATTTTCAGTATAATAAACAGGTTTAATCAGCTATTGATTCATGTTGAAATTTGCATTCTGTTTCATGAAGGTCAAATAAAATTGATGAGCTTTTAAACATTTCAAGGCAGATAATTTTATTATTAAATCTATTTTGAAATCACGTATATGTTATAAACTAATTTCCAATAGTTATTGTTAGACATATCTAATTAATAAACTAGGTTTGCTTTAGTCAAGTTTAGCAATATAATTTGTAGTGAGTTTTCTAAACATTTGTGGTATTGATTCACAGGAAATAAAAGTAAACTTGAAGGAAGCAATACACCGAATCTATTTTAAACCCCCCTGCCCCTGAAGTTCTCTCTTAACAATAGTGTTAAGAGAGAAACTGGCAAGGGGAGGGAATATACAGGGAGGTGTCCGAGATAATGAATGCTACTTCCCCCATTTCAGTTTAAACCGTAGTGTGAGGAAAAGTACATTTTTGGAGTCTGTTAGTCTTATAATTTTTTAAAAAATCAGTTACCAGTGAAGTGAAAGGGGAACTGTCTGTTAAAACTGTTTATGGTTTTAATACTGGAATGTTAGTTTAACACAGCTGTATGTCTAAAGCTTTTCTTCTACTCTTAGCTTCTAGTCTGTGAAGAAAAATTTTTTGGCAGCTTGCCTCAAGATGAAATATGTCTTAAAATGTTTATTATCATTGAGGAAATTTGGAATTTATTTTTAATCTTACATTATCTCAGGTGATCTGTTATATATCTATTTAAATATTGCTTTTGCCAATACTTTCAGCAGAAAAGCACAAAGGATCACCTTTGCCACTTGCGTGTTACAAGACTTGGGTAGGTCATTGGGTGTCTTGTCATATTTCTTTCACCTGTGACACCTCCACTTACAGGGGATGTCTCGGGCTGCCTTGCTGTAGTGGCCTTGATGGCCTTGTATATGAGCTGGTGTCTTCCATTGTGTTCTTTAATAACTTATAGAGTCCCTGTGGAAAACTGGCCTCAATTTATGACCTGCGTTGAAAATGTTACCCTTTATTAATTAATTCATAGGATAGTTTTAGGTGAACAAAGTTTAATGGGTAATTTTTATCCCAGTATATAGAAAGAATATGTCACTTCTTCATGTTTTTGAAGCAAAGCCCCAAACTAAGTAACCTTCCAAATTTATTTTTAAAAGTTTAATAATTTGTTTTATTATTGCCTGAGTGACTAATTTAGTAAATATAATTATTTCAAAGTTAGCTTAAAATACACCTTTTGAAATATGTGGCCATTAAAATGGTGTTTAAGAAATATGCATATATTCACATGTAAAGATGTTAATTATAATCCTAATGAAAAACTCTGTTATAAGAGACTGTGTGGGAAGAACCCATTTTTGTTTATATACATGTGCTCAAAGTGTCTGGATGGATTTATAGCAGTGTGTTCACTCGGATTATTGCCACATAGATGTAATGAAATGTTGCTAATGTTCTATTGCCTTGTTTTTGTGTGTGTGTGTTTTAGAAAAAGCAAAAGAAACACACCTGTTGAAAATTTGTAAAATTGTAATAGATAATACGTTTTTAAAAAATGAACTCAATTTATGGGCCGGCCCGGTGGCGCACTCCTACAGTGCGCCGCTTGAGAGCGTGGCGGCGCTCCTGCCGAGGGTTCGGATCCCACATACAGACTGGCCGCTCACTGGCTGAGCAAGGTGCAGGCGCAACACTGAGGGTTGCGATCCCGTTGCCGGTCCCGGTCCAGTACGGGCGTGACACTGAGGGTTGCGATCCGTTGCTGGTCACGAAAAAAGACAAAAAGGAAAAAAAAAAAATGAACTCAATTTCTTGATTGAAGTGATAAAAGAGGCAGATATTACTACCTTTTAGAATTCTTTCATGTTGTAATGTTTTTTGTAGCTTTTTTCTTATTCTATTTTCCGTGTGGTTGTTTGGATATTCGTAGCAAATAAAACTCCACAAAGCCAAGAAAAAATCTTCACACTATTTATATATTAGGCATATGGTAAGCATTTGAAATATCTCAGGGATGAGGAATGTATTATTTCTAATACGGCTCCAGTTTTCTTTTTTTTTTTTCCTTTTTGTCTTTTTTCGTGACCGGTAACAGGATCGCAACCCTCGGTGTCGCGCCCATACCGTGACCAGCAACGGGATCGCAACCCTCGGTATCGCGCCCGCACCACGCTCAACCAGTGAGTGGCGGACCGGTCTCTATAAGGGATCCGAACCATCGGCAGGAGTGCCGCCGCGCTTCCAAGTGCCGCACTCTACCGAGTGCACCACCGGGGCAGCCCTCCAGTTTTCAATAGTATAATTTCTTTGAAGTGGAAATTCACTTGGACATTAATAACGGGAAGGCAGTTGGGCCGGCCTGGTGGCGCACTGGATAGTGCGCCGCTTGGGAAGTGCGGCGGCGCTCCCGCCGGAGGGTTCGGATCCCACATGCAGACCGGTTCCCGCTCACTGGCTGAGCGAGGCGCGGGAGCAATGCCGAGGGTTGCAATCCCGTTGCCGGTCCCCGGTCCGGTACGGGGGCAACACTGAGGGTTGCGATCCGTTGCCGGACACGGAAAAAGACAAAAGACAAAAAAAATAATAATAATAATAATAATGGGAAGGCAGCATACTTAACATGGCTTAATTGTTCTCCCTTAACATATTATTACCATTTTTTCATTATTCCGGGAAAATTTTTTTTTTCAAATTTCTCAATCTAATTTTGAGACTTACCCGTTTGAGCTTTCTGGTGGAATTAGTGTTTGTATTGTTACCACTTTCTCACAGTATGTTCCTGTGACAAATACTGCACACTTTTGTAAAGTCATACTACTTTTGAGCTGGGAAAAACCTGAAAATTGTAGCCCAACCACTTCATTTTCTGATGCAAACCTATCACTGTTAGCTACATGACATTTGAGGTATCATTGGGCTGAATGATCCAATAGATTCTTTCTAGCCTAAAGTTTCATGATTCTGGGTAAATTCCACATACTCCTCATGCTTTCACTATTTTTTAAATGACTGTGCTCTTAGTATCATTTGGGCATCTCAGAATACACCATATTAAAATAAGAATGGAATTTTTTTTTTTAAAGCAGTACTCTATAATCCCTATTGTGTACTCAAAAAATGCTGATATCAAACAATGCAGCTGATATTTTGGGTTGAATGAATGTAGGAAATTACTCAGCCAATCAAATTTGAGATTTTTGTATTGAAAAATGCCTTATTTATCTAAGCCTTGCTAATTTCTTTTCTACTGTGGTTATTTAAATTAACACACTTCTTGCAAAATGCAGGCTACTAAAATATTACATATTATACTTCATATGGTGCAGTAACAACAGTAATTAAATTCATAGAGAATTGTGGCTGCTACATAGTGTTTTTATTTTGCCAGATCATCAAATTGTTATTACTGCCATTTCTCAGGAAGGAACTAGAAGCAGTCTAAAGAGATGCCCGGGGCTGGTCGTCTGGGTCTGAGCAGGTAGATAGAAGAGACCAACAGTCCTCAGAAGCCATGTGCTGCCACAGACTGGCTTTTCACTTTGGGAATCCCACGGCTCTCATGCCTCTTGTCCTTGTCTGTGCAACATGAGAATGGCACCTGATGTGACCTCTAAGGTCTCTTCAAACTTGAAAACTCAGTGATTCTCTATTAAATTCAGCAATCTGCAAAAGGATGGTATAAGACTAGATGTGCTGATATTCACAAGTGTGGAGTTTTGCTCTTATAGTATTTTTATCTTTAAATTTTCATTCTAGGATCATTGCTAATACATTTCTAATTCCACAGTGAAAACTTACATTCTTTAGTTGTGCATACTAAACCAACTTTGTTGTTGTTCTGCTCTCTTGTTCTTCTAAAAATGCTTCTACTAAGATCACATCTCTATTAAAACCATGTTTTTCTGCCATCCTAAGCCTTTTTGTAAACTGTGATTTATTCTCACATATATTTGAAATTTAATATGTTTGAAATTTAATTTTTGACTCCTGCACTTTAAAGAATGTTTATGCAGGTTTGTTTTTTTTTGGGCGGGGGGAGATTATGCCATTATGACTAGAATGTGTATCCTATTACAAAAATGTATTGTACTCATAGAGCTAATTTAGAGGAGTTTTTAAAAACCTTTAATACACATTGTTAGATTTTAAATATTTTTGGAAAGGTATCATAATACATAGGGCTTTCTTGGTTCTGTGATAGGAAACGCAGTGTTCCCTTCCAGCAGCCAGGGGCACAAAGAACATTCCTAGTGTCCTCTCAAGTCACCTGTTGTAGGAGGTGTGTTCTTTGTGATGGTAGTGTGGATATTTCTAAACTATCTTAAAGCAATATGGATAACTTTTTTTTTTTTTTGAAGAAACATATTGAATGAATGCTTGCTTATTCTTCCTTATTTTTCCCCCATTCCTTTTTAGACTTCTCTACAGTTTAGCCTTTAATGCCAGGTTTCTGAGACATCTTTGGTTTCTAATATCTTCCATGACAACGCGGATGATTACAGGGTATGTGTTACGCAGACTTACAAATTGAGCATGGAAAGTGGCAACCTAATCAAAACAGTTGTAAGAAGGTATTTTTAAGTACTGCTTACAATTAGCTCATTTCAAATCAGCAGAATAATTCTGGATGGTCTGAGTTTCACAAAAACAAAACTTAGTGCCTAGCTTTATCTGTATATATTATTATGAGTATGGCTTTATCTGAAGGTAAATTTGTTTCAAAAATCATAGTCATTTTCTTTGGAAATCAGAAACTTGAAATTTCTTTGCTCCATGTGACTTTAATGTTCTTTTGAGAGTGGAAATATAGATTTGAATAAAATTTAACACTATTGCAAACATTAAAACAGTATAAAAGTTGGTTTTTAAAACTTTTTGTTGAGATAATTAGATTTCTCATATATGAATCATTATATAACTTGAAAGCTAGCATCTTTAATATACGTATTTAATTAAATGTGTAGTAGAAATTTCGTATTTAAAAATCCTTCATGGTAAACTGACTTAGCCCATTATCTTGTTGTTGAAATTCTCTGTCAGAAGCCTAAGGTAATTCCTCTATACTGTAATATGAAAGGGTGAAGTGTGTGACTCAGTTAATTGGAGATTGGACTTACAGAATGCAACTGCATGTCATGCTCACTACACTAGTAATAACAGCAGTCAGCATTGCTGACCACGTCCTGTGAGCCAGCTCATCCTGTGAAGGAAAGGCAGGTCTCAATTGTAGAGCAAGTGTGTGGAAGGAAGAGGTAGTTTTTTTCTTTATAGGAACAAGAAATTGGAGGAAAGAATTTTTGGCAGTTGGGGCTGGGGTATCCAAAATTTAAATATGCACTCATATGCAATCTAATTTGGCTTGCAACATGTTAGATGGTACTGAAAAATCTTGTGTTGAGATTTCTGGATTTTGAGCTTTTTAGTGCAGTACTGTAGAGAAAAAGATTATTACATTTTAGTGCCTTTTAATCAGTCACAGTCAGCCCTTTAATGAATGGAACTGGTGTTTGAAACTTCCTACTAAATAAAAGAGGAATGTCAATTTATGAATAGCATTACTTTGAATTACTTTCATGTTTTTTCATTTAATCTTGATGAATCTTAAGTGAGTGAAGGGCGTTTTTAACCCTGACCCTGCCGCTGCCTCTGGTGAAACTCATAAAGATTAAGTGAGTTATCTTGTGTCAACAGTGAGTGGCAGAAGTAGACAGATGAGAGACATCTAGAATAATTTAACGTCTGAAAAATTTTTCTGTCATTTCCAAACTAAAATACTAGGTTTTAGGTATGTTTTGTTTTGTTGTATTTTGGTGTATTTCAGCCTCTTCTGACTATGCCAACCATGACTTTCACGAATGACAGGTTTGTTTAGGGTAAAAGGAGATTAGGGATCATTAGGACAGGAAATTATCATTTAGTCCCAGCTTAGCAACAGGGATATTGTCATAGTTCTGCCTGATAATTGCTCATTTGTTCATAGCATTTGTCTTTTGGTGAGGAAGTGGAGTCATGTGTGAAAGAAAATGGGATATTGTTAATTACATTAAATTATTGTAAGTTGGTAAAGTGGTACAAGTTTTTAAAAACTCATCATTTCTTAAAAGCCAATTTGAGAATTTGAGTTTCTTTTTGCTTGTTTAATTTATTAAAATAAGGTCCCTCAAGAAACTTACAGTGTATTAATACATTTCTAATATGAGTCTCATATTTACTATTGGGAGTAAAATTTAAAATGAAATGCCTGATTTTCTGAAAATGGCACTGAATTTAATTTGAAAATGGTTTCACAGGAAGACTTGCATAGCTGGGACTTTCAGCTTTAGTGAGCCTAAGGGTCATCAGGAGAGTGTGTTGAAGTGCAGGACCCCATATCGCCCCTGCGACCTGGGTTAGAAACCCAGCAGTCTGTGCCTACAGGCCTGCCAGGGCACTGAGACACAGGTGGTTTAGGACCTGACTGAGGACCACTTGTTCCTCGTGCCAGTCAAGCAGGACCACACTAGCACTGTGTCCAGATGGGTGTGGGAAGTTGTCTTGGTACATGATTTTGCAAACAACATTTTTATTCATGTGCCTCATTTCCAGTATCTGCTATTGAGATTGTACAGTTAGTTTCCTCCTTGTTGAAGATAAAGGAACCCACAGCCAGCTGGTCATGATTTTCCCCAAACTTCCCTTTATCAAGACAACACAGAGGAGCTTCACCAGCTGTCTTTGGCTGTGTGGTGCACGTCAGCATTTTTATTTGGTCACACAGTCTCAACGTTATCCACAGCAGCACTCTGAAAACTTTTTTAGGGAAGAGTCTATTCAACAAGAAACTCATATAGAAGACAAGAAGCTAGTTAGGTTAGCAGGAGGAGGAGTAGAGGTTCCCATAGACACACAGCGTGAAAGCCCTTGTTCTGAGAATATGTACAGAGGTTGGGGATTTGTCTGAGGTCTCATTTATGGTCAGCAATTCAGCCAGCTCCCCAGAGTTACAAATCAGTGTCTCTTCCATTAAATGATGGATTTATTTGCACATAAGTCTTTGAGATTGACCTGTTTTCAGAGGAATATTTGAGTCAGTGTTTACAGCAGAAAGAGTGGCCTGCATAGAACCAGGAGGTGTGTTTTATTTGTGCCCTGACTGCATGGGACCACTGGCACATATCTGACCCTTCTTGCCAGTCCCATTTTCTGTCATTGAAGTGGAAATGATCCCATTGCTTACCTCACAGGGGTTTCAGTAAGTTAATGTTGGTTAATTACCCTTGTCTCTTTTAGGGAACCAATAAAAGGGCTTTGTGCCTACTGGCATATATGAGAGAGCTTCAAAAAGATCATGGAAAGATTCATATTATCTTTTAATTCCATTTTTCCATGAACTTTTTTGAAGTACCCTCATATGTGCGTAACTGATGATGTGATGGTGGTGATTTTAAAAAGAGAGATTCTTGACAAGGAGAATAGTTAAAAGCTGATTCTTTGCTTTTTTAGATTTGCGGAACACTTTGTCTACATTTTACCTGGTTAACTAACCTGTACTGTGTTCCTCTGAATAGTGTGTGTTTATCAATATTACCTATTGTTTTTGTAGTTCTGCACTTAGTGGCAAGGGGACTAAAAAGTACTGGCCATTTTTATTAATATGAACAAAGTATATGACATTAAATTTTCTTTCTTCTGTATGTCAGCAAAATTTTTACTGAATACCATGCCCAGTAGTAGGCATTGGCCGGGGGGTGGGGGTAGTAACTCAGAAAATAGAAGAGGGCTCCTGTTTTCACAGGACTAGGCAGTTAGAGAAGCCATTGCTGTGCAGCCGAGGCAGCCCACACTTCTCATCACCCACATTAACAGCCTTTTTTCTGCCTCCTGGCTTTGAAAGTGAGGTGGGACATTCATACTTTGTTCCTTTTTGTATGTCCCTGCTACATGTGTATTTTGGGTAGATGGCTTTCGTTCATTAACTCATGAGTTAGTTCAGCACAGTGCTAAACACAAAACGCTACAACTACAAATGAGAGTCAAGAATTTGTGGTGTGTAGGAGGTGACTGTGGCATGTTCCTTCTCCGTGAGAACAGCGTTGAGGCATCACATCTGGGTCCCTGTTGTCATGGCACTGCTGCTGGTGGTGCCAACCTCTGAGCCCTCTGTCACGGAGACTTGAAGGCTCCAGGCAATTAGTCAAGCTCACCAAAGCCCCCCTAGTAATAACCAGTGGCCTCACCTTCTGCTTTGCTCTCGTGTGTCATTTGTGGATCTTGGCTCCTGGCCAAATCTTTTCTAATATACACCTATCGTTTTGTGGAAATAGGTATTCAGGGAGGTAAGAGAGTGGTCTTGGCCTCAGTCTATTAACACACGATTGATTTGACGTGCTGGAGGGACCGTGAGGCTTTACAGTTTGGAAATCATTTACAGGTGAACTTCTTTTAGCAAAATGTTCCATGAGACAGGGAACCATACTTAAATAAAAGAGAAAAGGAACAAATTCTAGGTGGGAGAAGTAAATTTAATAGATTGTAGCTCCTAATAGGTGAAAGAGACTAGAAAGTTATCAAAAGACCTCCTCCCTTGAGAGCTGCTCTGGTGGTCATGACTCCTGGTAAAAGCAGGAGTAGTCATGGGAGTTGGTAAATAAACTTGGACAGTAGAAAAAAGGCTTATTCCTGAGGGTTCTAATTTGGCTTCAATATTGAACTGTTTTGAACATTCCTAAAAGGAAGTTGCTAGATAAATTTTTCGTGAGACCGGAGTGATTTCCCTATGTTAAATATGTTCAGAGGGAAAAGGGAAAGGTTTTCCTCATAAAAGTAAAGCATGTGTCTTTAATAGTGGCATGACTTCCTGTGACTCTCTTTAGCGTCTCAGCCTCGGGACCACTGGCTCATTCTTATAACTTAATTTATCCAGTTGATAAAAGTGGCAGGCACATTAGTGAAAAGTAATGGGTTGTCATGCTATTTTTTATTGAACTGTGATATTTATTAACCTGTGTTGTCACAGTGACTTTACCTTGCCTTTAAGTAGTTTAATTGCCAATGTAAATGTTATTTTTCCCTGATTGTATTTGTCTGATGTCATGTCTTAATTAGTTCTGAAACTAAAACTAATCTTAAAATAACTTTTTTTTCTTATTTTCCCCAATTCAAGGTCTATGGTACCATTGCTTCAGGTGATATCAAGGGGTTCTCCTATGTCTTTTGAAGATTCTAGTCGAATCATCCCACTCTTTTACCTTTTTAGCTCCTTGTTTAGTCATTCGCTAATTTCCATACATGATAATGAATTCTTCGGTGATCCCATAGAAGGTAAGAATTTTGAGGAATTAGCTTGTTGCTGGCCACATAGCATCTCAGTTTTGCATAGAAAGGTTTTAAGCCTTAAACATCTTTCAGTGTGTGTTGAAAAATGAAAAAAAAAAATATGATAGAAAATTGGGTTATGTTTTTCAGTTGTAGGTCAAAGACAATCATCAATGATGCCTTTTACTTTAGAAGAGCTGATAATGCTGTCTCGATGCCTTCGAGATGCGTGCTTAGGGATCATCAAGCTGGCTTATCCGGAAACAAAACCAGAAGTTCGAGAAGAATATATTATAGCATTTCAAAGTATTGGAGTTACTACTAATTCTGAAATGCAACAGTGTATACAGATGGAACAAAAACGATGGATTCAGTTATTTAAGGTATAGAGTATGTTTTTGTTTCCTGAGGTCGAATAATATACAAATTTGTTTTGGCTTGACTCGTTTCAGAAAAATAGAAATACAGGTTTGTTTCAGGTATTCAGGCATAACTTTTAATTTGCAGAAAACAGTTTGGGCCAGGGTGGGGGCGGGGGCGGCTGGCCAGTATAGGAATCAATCCCTGGACCTTGGTGTTATCAGCACCATGCTCTAGCCAAATGAGCTAACTGGCCAGCCCTGCAAAACTTTTTAATTAAGAAAATTCATTTTTATTTTACATTCATCTTCTTTTAAAACCTTTTTTTTTTTTTTACGTTGTTACATCATCTTTTATAAATTATCCTTAGTACTTTTGGGACAAGTTGAAGTATTAATAAAAATGTTTAAATGTTATTTTTATTTTTATTTTTCTCTGAAAGATTTCTTACAGATTTTCTTTGTTTGAATCTTTTAATAAATTGATTAACAAAGGTGGAATATAGACCATTACTTTTTAATGGAAGTTATATATACAATATTTTAAAGTATCTTCATTTTTAACCGTGTAGAAGGAGAAGTTATGAGGTACCATGACTGGAATGTTGGCAGAAAATCACCACCACTGAGAATGTAACTATTGGGATAGAAAAAAAGAAAAGAACAGGGGGCTTGACTTCCCATGAAATTTCTGCAGCAAACACATCTAGTCAGCTAAAATTGCTCATTAAAGGAGTGAGAGCAGAAGAAATGCATTTTCCAAATTGAATGCTGGATTTACAGTCCGTTTAGTACCAGCGACCTCTCGCACACTAATGTTCAGTCCGAGTCATCAGCTGTCCCTTTGGGTCTTTTATCACTGCTTTTGTCAAGCTATCTATTTAATTGAAAGAAGTTAATTGAATGAAAATGATCAACTAAGCTTGTATTAATATTGCTAATGGAACTTTCTTCTTGGCCATGTTTGGAAAAAGATGTCAAGCTAGACTTTAGGAAAGGCCCATTAATGCTTGCACTTAACCTGATGGGCTAATTAAGGAATGCTTATTCATCCTACAAGTCCACGAGAGTCTCTATCCAGCCCATTCTGCCTGATTCTACAACACATTTCACTTATGAGCATGAGCATTAGTAGCAGTGAAAGTAACTGATAATGTTTTGATTGCACTGAATACAGTACTAATGCATCATTGAATTTATAATTTGTGCAGATTGATGTAATATATGTTTGCAGAATTTATTTTAATTACCTATCTGTATATTCCTAAGTAAAGTTTAAAGGCCACATGTTGAGTCCTTAATATATCCTTTCTTGAAGGTTGAAGATACTACCCCTTTTCTAAGTTAAAAATAAGCTATCTCACCTGTTTAAAATTTACAATTCTTATGTAAGCTTTTCCTGAATATGGGTATTATGGTAGCATATGTGTTTTCCTTTCAGTATTTAATTAAGCTCTGGGATCTTTGTTAATAAAGCTTTCCATTATGTAGGATATCAGGCTTTGTGTACAGTATCAGATAATTTCATTGTTTTATAGCACCTATTGAAAGTTTCATAATTTTCATATGACGCACTTATCTTTAGGACATAGAAATCTCTGAATTTAATAATGCTGTATAAGATATTTTCCAGCCAGCCCTGTTTCATTTCGTTTTTTCATTTCGTTTTGCTTAAGCATTGAGTGAAAATTCTGTAGAGGCTCTTTTTCTTGTGCCTTAAGTTGACTCACTGCCACTTTATTAATCACTGAAGGTTTTAAGAATTTTTTAAGCATTAATGTTAAGTTTCACTTTTGTTTTTGGTAAGGTTTTTTTTTTGGCTTGAAATCGACTTGTTACAAAAACCTTTTGAGTTTAGAATTGATTGAAGACAATTTTTTTAAAGGATTCCTATTCTTTGGCCAAAACCCTCCCCCCACAAACCATTTTATACTACATGGTATTGAGCTGAGTCCTAAAATTAATGAAAATCAAAGCATAATCTTTGAGTTATCAGATACTAGTTTTTCATCAACAAAACATTATTTTTATTATGAAATGATGAAAACTTACACGTGAGAGGTTCCTGTGTTCCCTCGTAAGAGCTTTGTGTATGTTAGTCATTTGCTGCAGTAATTCTTTGAGGAAGATCTGTAACCCTTCGTGGTTTACAGATAAGGTCACGTAGCTAGTAGTTGGTAGAGCCAGCTGCTACTCTACATTCCCCTCTGAAAAACACTAAAATAATTTGTCAACACTTTTTTATATTACAGTGCCACATTTGAGTTGAAGAACTTAAGGTAGAGTCAGCCAAGGAAGGTAAAAGCATTTTGCCCATGATTTCTTGCCTTCCGTTGATTTTGACAGAATTGCCAGTGATGAGACTTGACTCTCCACCAGCTGTTTTCATTTTCAGCCTTGTCGTGGTCCTCCCAAACTAATCTGTGTGGGAGGCTCCGTTGGCTGGCTACAGAACATAGAATTTTGAGTGGATAGAGTCATCTTTCTTTGTCACTGTAAGAATTGAGGTCAGTTTTTAAGTCCTGCATTGACACTGCTAAAACAGTTTATGCATTTATCAAATTTATATACTCTTCATGAAGTGTAATTTACAGCTATAATTGCTTTAGCTCTATGAGGAGATAGGAAATCCTGTTTTGATATGTCTTTATGTGCAATTACCAAACTTGATAGGAGTTACCTCAAAGGACAGTGTGGTAGGGAAATTAGGAACAGGGCTTCCATGCCTCGCTTGTCCATTTGTTTCTGCATGTGCTCGTATAGAGAGAGATCTGTGGTATAAAGAATTGTCACTTTCGTGGTGGTTGATTTGTATTTTCACTTCCAAAAATACTTTTTAAAAAAAGCGAACAGTTTGAACAACAGCACTGACTTAACTGTAATCCTAACATGTCATCGTTAACTGTCAGTGTTCACCAAACAGCACTAAGCAGTGTACCTGTATTTTGTTCTTATAGAGCAGTGCCATACCCTTTTCTATCTTTGATGATTTTTTTTTGTTTTTTGACTGCTAACGAAAATAGATACTTTAAGAAGTAATTTGTAGTGTTTTAAACATGTGCTGGAGAATACTAATGTCTTTCAAAATATACCAGTTTTAACAAGTAATAACTAAGGGCTATATAAAACTCAATTAACCTTTTGACAACAGCAATTCATACTAGTCATTACTTTCATTGGTTAGGGTGTTGTTACTATCAGTTATTTAAACACTCACATTATTTATCCCACACATACTGACTCAGCCCTACACTAGGGGATCATAAATGAATTCAGACTGGGTCCTTGTTCTTGCAGTATTACTGTACGGTGAGAAAAACAAACTTTGAACTAATTACAATGAGAAGAAAATGAAGTTAAGAGGTCAGTGCTATTGAAGCTCAGGATGGGAACACCGACTGCTCATGGTGTCTTTTGCTTCTGATTGACTATAGGAAAACTCATTCTCCTGCGAGAGGATATACTTAGAGCTGGTGCATTACCTGTTTTTCTCAAAAAATTCTTATTTAATATATTTACCACATTCAACATTTACCACACTTGGGCCGGCCCAGTGGCACACTGGAGAGTGCGCCGCTTGGGAGTGCGGCGGCGCTCCTGCCGAGGGTTCGGATCCCATGTGGAGACCGGTTCCTGCTCACTGGCTGAGCACGGTGCGGGCGCAACACCAAGGCTTGCGATCCCGTTGCCGGTCCCCAGTACGGGCGCGACACCGAGGGTTGCGATCCCGTTAACCGGTCAGTAAAAAAGGGGGAAAAACATTTACCACACTTAAATACCTGTGAATTATGTGTAAAGTGTGTGCTTTGAGCTTTTTGAAGAATTAACTAAACTGTTTGGTTTTACTTACCAGGTTTCACATAGCAGATTTAAGATAAAAAGAGATTTTTATTTAGTATTATAATGTAATTTAGTCTTCCATTTGCCTTTCAAAACTTGGACTATATGTACTTACTGTTTTGGGTGCGGTACTGTGTTCTTAAATATCAACTCTCTCCATTCAGAAATGTCATAATTTAACATTAGTAGCCTTAAGTCATCTAATTTATATAAACATTTATTATATGATAATACTATATTGTGTTATGATATAATACAGGTGAAGCTTAAGGATATTTCCACAAGATCAATTAAGCAAAATTTTCTTATGATCATCATCACCAATGAATTCTCAAACATAAGTGATCTTGTGAAAACAAGGAGTCTGTATGTTTCTAAGCAGTGTTTTTACTTGGATCTTTTTAATATTGGGGTTAGGGGAGACTTGCTTACAGTTATTACCTATTTTAAATTCAAATGGTACCTAATAGAGCATATATAACAGTTGTATGTGTTTCTGAGTATTTACTTAAATAATTTATTAGTTTCTGAGCATTTATTTATTTAGTTTAAGGTTTTGATCTAGCATGGAAGAACATGATATGGGACACCTGAGTTAACACATAAGTATGTTGTGTTTCTAACTTAAAATCTGCTAAACTATATAGGTTGAGCTAGACACAGCTAGTTATTCCAGTGTTTGCTTACTTATAACTTAATACACTGGTTCTTAAGTCTAACCACATATCAAATACCCTGGAGAATAGTTAAAAACAACTGTCAACTGACTCTGTGACGTGGCATCACTGGAGGTGGCATGCTGGTGTGGGTGCTCATCACTGCTCTCAGGTGACTCTAATATGCAGCAGAGGTTGAGAACCCACAGGCCGGACTCTACACAGAATTCACTTTGGGCAGATTTTATAAACTTTGATCTCAATTTGCAAAATTGGACTAATCTATGATTTAGGTATTGTTTAAATCTAAAATCTTTCAGAAAATTTGATTAAATTAATTAAAAGAAAATTTCCCGTCCAAATTCAGCACTGGTTATCTATTGATCCAGTTTTAAATTGTTACTTCAGTTTTCCTTACCTTTCATACTTAGTCAAATTTTGTAATTTTTTTTTTTTTTCCTTTTTGTCTTTTTTCGTGTCTGGCAACGGATCACAACCCTCAGTGTTGCGCCCGGACCGGGACCGGCAACGGGATCGCAACCCTTGGTGTTGCTCCCACACCTCGCTCAGCCAGTGAGCGGGAACCGGTCTGTATGTGGGATCCGAACCCTCAGCGGGAGCGCCACCGCACTCCCAAGCGGCGCACTGTAGCAGTGCGCCACCGGGCCGGCCCAAATTTTGTAATTTTTTAATGGTTACCTCCACAAACTTTCCTTTCTTAGTACTAAATATTTGTAGAGAAGTTGAGTTTGAGATACTGTAAGTGAATGGTTAGAAAAGGAATGTGTTTAAAGGTGTTTGGATGTCACAAACTAGATCCATTCAAATTTTCATGGTTTCTTAAAATTTGTATTTTTTTAAAGTTAGAAGAAAAATAGTTTATATGAAGGAAAAAAAAATGTTCTTAGCTGGATTTTAAGGAATCGTATGTGACATTTCTATAAAGGCATTTTGGAATTGGTCCATGGTTTGTCATGCCATATTTAGCAAATAAAAATATAGGCTACCCATTTAAGTCTGAATTTCAGATATATCACAAATACTTTAAAAAATATAGGCTGGCCAGTTAACTCAGTTGGTTATCGCAGTGTTATAACACCAAGACAAAGGGTTTGGATCCTCATACCAGCCTGCCACCAAAAAATAAAATATATATGTTGGCATAAATATGTATATAAAATTATGTCCTGTGCAATATTTCAGATGTACTTATATTTTAAAGACAGCAATATTTGGGACGTACTTATACTAAAAAAATATTTGATGTTTATCTGAAATTCAAATTTAACTGGGTGTCCTGTATTTTCTCTGGCATTCAAGTTTGGTTTTCTGTCCCCTTTATTTAAATTTAATTTAAAGTCCCACAGTGACCACCTCAGCACCCCTTCTTTGCCATGTCTTTTTAGAGTCAAATCATTTTTGTACCTTCTCCTTCCCTCTACCTCTCTCTCTCTCCTTCCCTCTCTCCCTTCTTTTTTTTTTTTGAAGAGGATCAATGGTAGTAGGACATTTTATAGGTAATATGTGATTACTTCTTTTTTTATATTTAGGATATGAAAATATGAAAGAAGATGCCCTGTATTGAAACTTTTTTATATTTAATTTCACAATAATTTAAAAGAGGAATATAAATGATGCCATTAATTGCCTCATACATAATTTAATAATGTTTGTGACCTCTAGAAAATAAGTGTCCTCATAAACAGAGATTGAATAGAGAGGAATATTAAGAGGTGGGTAAAATTTTATTTTCTGGAGCTAGGCAGACCTGGTCCTCCCCTTGCATGGCCTTTAGCAAATTACTTACCCTCAATAAAGCTAAGTTACCTTGGTGATGATAAACTCATCGGATGCCAGAATTCAGGAGGACGATGCAATTAAATAAATACATGTAAATGTTTGTCAGAAAACATGTCTTAAACAGTTGTGGTTTTGAAGGGTTAAGTTTCAGTATGGCAGCTGTTAAATCTGAATTTATTTAAAGTATAAATATAATTGGTCATGAAAATGGAAGGACAAGACATGATTTTTTTCCATACAAAAAGATTGTATGTTCTTCTGTCTCTGCTATTGGAAGAGGGCTTATGTTGAGTTTGTGTGGTGTACTCTGAACAACCTGAATTTTTCCGATATTTATATAACACATGTACTATAACATAATTCACTGAGATTTAGTCTTTGGAAGGGCAGAACTGACTGAAGAATTAAGTGCATTAGCTCAGTTACAGGACTTTGTTTTGACCATTCAGTTAACCGTGTAGAAACCCACAGCTAGGCTATTCCTAGTATGCCTACAGTAAGACATTGCTGTGTGTGACCAACACCCGCCTCCCAAGCAACCACAGCAGAGTTGAGGGTCAAGTAGTAACAAACTCCACATTTACACTAACTACTTAATTAAGCTAATTTCCACTGATTCAAAAAGGATAATATTACATAGTATTATGACAGATTTTAAAATGCCACAAGATAGATGCTACTTCTAAATCGATAAGAAATACCCAACAGTTAAAAAGCTGTGTTTTAGGTCTTGAGAGGTTGTTATTAACGTAGTTTTATCTGCATGGCTAAAGTGTTCAAATGTTTCTCTCTCCATGGGTAGGCTGTTGAAGTGGTGTCTGCATGATAGAGATCTGAGACATCAACCAGGGACCTTTTCTCACCCTTTTCCTTTGGGCACACAATTCCTGGTTTCCCTGCAGGCCAGAATTTACATTTCATAAAAGAAGCATTTGTATTTCTTTTGTATGTAGATGTTAAATTATGGAATTTTAAAGGGAAATCTCTATTAGCAATTAAGATTATGTAATCTTGCTTATCCAGTGGGCATATATGGAATTTTATCACATTACCTTATTGTCGTTACTTGTTTGGTTATTCAAATTTCATTTTATTTAATTAGAGGCAGTGTGCACACCAGCCTGGCTGACTTTTTCAGAAACTACCGTTATGGTCTTACTTTAACTCCATAGGAGTTGTATGATTGAGTCCTGATTATACAGGTTTAAAACTTTGGATTTACAATTTTGGTTTATCTTTGTATGTTACAAAGTACATTTCTATTCAATATAGGAGCTCAAGTCTTTTTTAAATAGTATTGTTAGATTTCTTTAGTCATATACCTATAAAATTTACAAATAAGTATTGATCCCAAAATCAGTCAGTAAGTACCTACTAGGTTCCCAGTTAGTTAGATTCTGTTCATAAGGAACTTATACTGCGTAGCTAGAGAGGACCTGTTGCTCACTGGGGAGAAAAATGATAACGAAGGATAAGCTATGACAATGTAGTGTAAGTTTGTGTAGGTCTGACCATCTGGGGAGGTGAGACTAAATTTTTGTGGAGTTATGGTGGGAAGTTGACCTAGCTCTAGAAGCTTATGTAAGGGAAATATTGAAGTTGTTTTTCTTTTTAAAAGATGTGAAACTGATATCTGGGGTGCTTCTTTTTTTCCCCAGTGCCCTTGAAACAGGGTTTCTCAGAAAAACAAGAAATGCTATTTGACCTTAAGAAAAAGTTTTACAAAATTGCAATACTTGGAGATGTCTTTTGTTATAGTTCACATGAGCTGTTGCAATTTCAGATTTGTGTTTCAAAACTTAATCTCTCCCTCATAACTTTTAAAAATGTGTGCACATATTTATGTTACTTTTTCTATATTTGTTGACATATAACTGGTTTGTACTTACATTCTTGTGGTGCAAAAAGAAGCCATTTCTGTAGACTGGCTTACTGGTCTGTGGCCAGATCTCAGTGCCTGGATGCCATTTTCTTGCAGGCATTTAGGTGAAAGAAGCATTCTGTGCCCCACCGTCATGTGCTTCTCTTACGTCTGGTCAGTAGTGGTATGTCCTGTACGCTTGTAGTTACCGAGCTGTTTGTGTGACACAGACCTGTTCTTCCTCTTCAGGTAATCACCAATCTAGTGAAAATGTTGAAGTCCAGAGACACGAGAAGAAATTTTTGTCCTCCAAATCACTGGTTGTCAGAACAAGAAGATATTAAAGCAGATAAGGTGTTACTGAAAGATCTTCTTATATTTTTTATTAAAAATATTTTTTCAGTTTTTGTCTTTGGGAAGAAGAGTAATAAATTCTTTAAAATTGCTTAATTTATTACTTATATACATCTTTTTAATAAACTTTATTAACTTTTAGTTTATATAATGGGACATATAGCAACATCATTGACCTGACTATGCATCCTGAGTTTATTAATCCTAATTTTCCCTTTTTAACCTCAAATTATGTTGAAGCGTTATGATTCTTCATTGGGGTTGAAAAATATTTTGTGTTTATTGGTATTAATGGCAAATGTATGTTCAGTACTTAGATGGATTTTATCCTTGATTTTCTGAAGGAGTAGAGATAAATTTGAATACTACTAAGATTTAGATTTAGATTCAATAGTATAATAGGAAAAAAATAAGTAACATTAACAGAGGACATGAGGTGTTCTCATTTTGATTTTTCAGAAAAAGTCATGACTGGATTCATTTCAGAATTTTGGGAGTGGGAGACAGGGAGTGGAGGGGTATGGAAGAAATAAGGTCACAGAAATATTAAAGAGAAGAAAATGTGAGCATTACTGTGTCCTCATGAGATAGTGTATCTTTACATTAAGCCAGTAGCCTCTGGCTCTGCCCACTGACAGGTCCAGAAACAGTGGCAGATCCTTCAGCAGAGAACAGCTCCAGGGCCCAGCATGGTGTCTCTTAACAACATTTTCCACCAAATAGAAAGTCCTTGGCACAGTGGTTGGTTTTTGGTGTGAGGAGGACCCTACAAGATGGGTGTGGGGCATTGTCACACTAGCATGCATGGGAGCCACAGAAGTCTGCTGCTGTCCTGGGAAAGGATCAGGAGCCACCTAAGAGCTCCAGTTGGTCATAGCTGGAAAATTTAAGCATCAGTAGAAATAGTTCCAGTGAACTCATATCAAACATGTTTAACCCTATGAGTTCATAATGATGCTAAAAAGAAAAACTTGATCGGTCACTTTCGTAGGATGCCAGGGAACCAGCTCATTATTTGGAATACAGTTTTGAAAAAAAGAAGTAATTGAGCATTTAGCCTACCTTTCCTTATGAACTGTGCCTCAGGCTCACCAGATAGTTAATGATGTGTGGTCTTTCCAACTAATAATATGTGAAAACGGCATTGGCGAACTAGAATCATGCCATTCTTCAGGCTCTAGTGAAGCAGATGACCTAGGTAAAGCTCCTCCCAGCAGGTTCCGCACGCTGGGCCTGTGGTCTCTGACTATGAGAGTCCCCAGGAGTTGAGGGGCTGGCACGAGAATACAAGTCACTCCACCTTTTCTTCCCTCTAAAAAGTTCCGCTGCGGAAAAATGTCAGCTGAACCCCAGAGTATGTTAGTGATGTGATTGATTTACATTTTGGCTCAGATTCTCTATCTCATCACTGGCCTGTAACAGTGCACACACCACACTCAGAGTAGCTTTGATCTCCTGTCTGCGGTGCCTCCGACAAAAGAGCACACCACCACCAGGGAATGTTCTTGCCAGAAATTCTAACCTGAACATGATGAAACCTCTAGATCTAACTATGAATGTATCAGAAGCAGAGGTGTTAGAGGTACACATTTAACAGCACCATGAGGATGCAATTAGCAAAATCCAGATCATGAGAAATTTTATAAGACAAAAGCCTCTGTTTCTTGGTTAAAAATTGCAAGAGCCAAAAATGAGGGATGAGAGGAATCAACAGATTAGAAAAAACTTAAAGTATGTTGTACCTGTCTTATTTGGGTACTAATTCAACCAAATTAATTGAAAAAGAAATATGAGACAGTGGATATTTGATAATAGAAATTGTTAATTTTTTAATTGTGACGTGTTTTACTTCATAAACCAGTTACATTATTATGATGATTTGCTATATCCAGATGTTGTAAATCGTTAAATAATATAATTAGATTTCTTTGGGATGTATTAGAGAAAGGAATTAAACTGTAAAAGTATTCAAAGGACAGCCAGCATAAGAGAGAAGGCATGAAAAGTTAGCCTGAAAGGATGTGAACATATAAGGTCCAGGAGGGCCCAGCTGGATTTAAATAAATGTAAAACACTGACTCTGTTCAAATATGACCAGGTAAAGGTTTGTACTAGAACAAAAGAAAGTGCCGAACGAGGTTGCTTGTCCCCACAGGTCACCCAGCTGTATGTGCCAGCGTCCAGACACGTGTGGAGGTTCCGGCGGATGGGGAGGATAGGCCCTCTGCAGTCCACCCTGGATGGTGAGTTTTCTAGCAGCTGCCACTTTCTTAAACACAGGTTTACTAAGATACAATTTACATACTGTAAAATTCACTCCTGTCAGTGTATGGTTCTGTGATTTTTGTTACATATAGTCATGTAATCACCACCAGAAACAACCACATAGACTAGTTTCATCATCCCCAAAACCACAATGTGCTCCTTGGTGCCAGCCCATTCCCTAGCCCCTGACAACCACTGATTTGTTTTGTCCCTATCGTTTTGCCTTTTCCAGAATGTCTTTGAATGGAATCCTGTGGTCTGTAGCCTTGTGAGTCAGACTTCTTTCATTCAGCATGAAGCCTCTGAGGTCTCTGGTGCTGCACAAGTCAGTAGTTTGTTCCTTGTATTGTTCAGCTGTATTCTATAATGTGGATGTACCATAGTTCGTTAATCCATTCATCAGCTAAAAGACATTTGGTCATTTTTTCAGTCTCTGGCGATTATGAATACAGCTGCTGTAAACTTGATGTGCAGATTTTCATGTGAACATACATTTTTCTTTCACTTGGATACATATCTGGAAGTAGGAATCATGAGTCATGGCAGGCATGTGTTTAACTGTAAGAAGCTGCAGATTTGTTCTCTGATGTGGCTGTACCAGTTTGCATTCAGACCAGCAGTGTGTGAGGGTTCCAGGTGATCCACATCCTAGACAGCACTTGGTATTGTCTCTTTTTAGAGTTTAAATTTTTATTTTAGCCGTTTAAAAAGGTATGCAATGATATCTCACTATAGTTTTAATTTGTATTTCCCACCTGACTAATGATGTTGATTGTCTTTTCATGCACTTGTTTTAATTATTGAGTACTGAGAGTTTTTAATACATTCTGGATATAGTTTCTTTATCAGCTACATAATTTGCAAATATTTTCTCCTAGTCTGTGGTTTGTCCTTTTCTTTTCTTAGCAGTGTGTTTTGAGGAGCCGAAGTTTTTAATTTTGACATAATCGTTTTTATCATTTTTTTCTTTATGAATTCTGTGTGCTTTTGGTGTGCTATCTAAGAAACCTTCACTTAACATAACAGTTTACTTTTCTCTAATATTTTTCTTCCTAGCTGCTGCTCAGTTGAGGTATGCAATATGTAATATATTTGTAATCTGTATTTATAGTTTACAATTTACTGTCAGCTTCCTGAAGCAAGATTTTGCATACCTTTTGTTCTTTATTCTCATTTGCTTTTAGTTTCTGGGGTCAGTGAAGGAGATGGTACTACTAGACTTCAGTCTTTAATTTGGAAATTTTCATGTTTCCACCATAGTAGATGAACCTTGTGAGGTTTGTGTTTGCTGTGTCTAGTGAAAATAGGACATCAGGCATTAGAATCTTATGTCAATTTGCTTAATGTTTTATAGATGCTTAGTTTATATTTTGATCAAAATTGATTTATCAACAGTTTCTATTTAAGTTTTGTTAGAATTGTTGAGATATAATTTTTGTTTTCCAAAATGTTAAATAACTTTTTGTTTTTGCAAGAAAGTAGAGGATAAAATTTATGGGAATAAGCACATACGTTTGTGTTTAAATTCAAGATATTTAGTATTTTGTGTCATTTACTAGAATAGCCACACTGTATGCATTATGATGTGTTTATTTTTAGTCACAAAGTAAAATCTTCTATTTTTGCCTTGGTGAATAAATTTTGAGGTTTAAAATATTAGCCTGTGCTCTCACAGATTTACACCCAAATATTTAAACATAAATTGCTGTCTTGTATAATATTTTTTTCCTTACAGATCTTGTTTTTCCAGTATAGCCCTGCAGTTTGGAAATGGCTAAAATATTAGAATGGCTCAGCTGGCTTGGCTGAGGTTTAAGGGAAATAGGCAGCTCTTATAGTTTGTCACTTTCAGCAGTCCAGAGTCACATGAATCAAAGAATGAATAAATAAAAAAAGAACAGTTGTTTTCATCTATTTTTATTTTTTCCCTTTTCTTAGTCTTATCTAAAGCATGATGAGATGTTTCAAGAATACTTAGATTACCAAAGTAGCCTTGCTTTTGTTGCATATTTTGTACAATACCTGTAAGTTTTTCTTTGTTGTTTAGCAGCTGTCTAGGTCCGGTCATCCCTATATAGGATCCGAACCCGTGGCGGGAGCGCTGCTGCGCTCCCAGCGCCACGCTCTCCTGAGTGCGCCACGGGCTCGGCCCTTAAACTCTTTTTGAAGCATAACTTATACAGAGAGAGATGATTTTTTTAAGTAAAATTTAATTTTTATTTGCTGTCACATGAATGCATAATTATTCTACAAATCAAGAAGTAAAAATCTTACACAATGGATTGTCTAAATTCTAGGCAGGCATTCTCTGCCCCAAAACCTAGTATTGAATGATCAAAATATTTTGTCTTTCTCTGTAATGATATTTCTTCCAGGCCAGAGTTCATTTGTCATTCAAACCCTTTCAGTGCCACTACATTCATTTTTAAAATATGGTCAATATGGTGGTATGAAAACCACAGCAAACAATGTGTGATTTGTTAATCCCACTTAGTTTGGGGCAGGATGAGTTAGTCACTAGGCTGTCACACTGTCTAAGCACAGTCTGTTGTATTTAGTTGCCTTTTTTTTTTTTTTAATTCAAATGGAAAAACCTGAATTTCTAAATACCTATGTATTGATGATTCGTATTTCCTTCTAAAAAGAGAACCTTTGATGGGGAAATAGAAATAAAATTAACTAAATAACCAAATTCTTTGAACAGATAGTTCGTATCTCTTTCCTCTGTATGCTCTTGTAACTTAAAAGGCCTTTAGCCTTTGTTTTTATAGATCATGTGTTTTCTGGACATAATAATCATATGTATAATAATGATATATAATTAAAATATTTTGAGGGCTTTAAGGTGCTAAAATTGTTCAGTTTTTAAAAATCAAATTATACTAAAGCTTCCTGTAAATAAAATATAAAGAATTTAGTATTTCTTAATTATAATTTTAGAGAGATGGGACCGTGTCTACCAGTAGTGGGATGATGAAGTGTTAAATTTTGAGAATATACTTAATTGTCATTAAGCTTTATTGTATCCTCAAACACATAAAAATAATTCCTGATGGATATTTTCAGTGGATGATAGTTAAAAACTTGTCACTCATTATTCCTGCTAGTTGAACTTTATTGTATAAAATTTCACCTACCAAAATGAATATATTTTGTGTTTGTAAACACATTATATTTGAAGAATTCTGAGTCCAGTGGAGTTTTGGTAGAGTAACTATAGGGAGGCAATAAATATGTTATTTACTGCAGAGATAGCCATGTACTTCAAAAGGTTGGGCTAAAGAATATATGTTGTGGTGAACTATTACATACTGGTTTCCTAAGAATGAATTGCTATTAGAGATGTTAAAAGTGATGGTAAGATTCCAGCTGGTATCCTGCCTGGCAGTTAGTAGGCACTCAGTAAATCTGCTGCATATTTGTTGAATAAATATGCAATAGATTTCAAAATACTTCAGTAAGATGCATTTTATGTTTTAGTTTTCACTTACATAGAGAGTATGAAAGAGTTACTATTACTGAGAGTTATTGAACTGATAAAAATCTTCAGGGTTTTTCCTCGTTCTTAAAATGAGTGATGATTTATGGAGCCGCACACAGCCCTATCCTAGGTACTGTTGGGCCTGGGAGGAACCTTGTTGACACAGTAGGAGGAAAGAGCACACACAGGGACGGGGACACGTCCCACGGGCAGACCTGGCTACACTCAGCTCAGCGCTGGTTCTGGTGCCCAGACGTGCACTTGGGATTTAATAGGTGATTGAAAAGGTCCCTTTCAAGGCAGATCAAGTAGTCTTAAGAATGATTTTATAAATCCTAGCCTGAGTAACTGGCAGTGGAAATGGAAAGGAAAGCACAGATGAACTAATCAAGTTTTTATAATGTATCTTAGTAGGTTTGGAGGCCCCACCACTGTCTGTGTCTGAGGAAAGACAACTCGCCATCCTCACAGAACTACCTTTTGTGGTTCCGTTTGAGGAACGGGTAAAGGTATGCAGCTTGGTTTCTTTATTGATTAACTCACTACATTTTATGTTATTTATCATACAAGTGTTAAAAAATTAACACACCACCACCAACAAAAATCTCTAAAGTTCTGTATTGCCTAGGTGGTTATATAATTTATATTTTTCTCCTTAGGTTGTAATAGCTAGCAATGATTTATAAAACCCAACCAGTTACCTCTTTGTGCAAACCGAAAATATTTTTCCCCTTAGTTGTAACTGGTAGAAAGGCCTGTTACACTATAGAATTCTTATAGTGGGAGTCTAAGTTCCTTTCTCTCGAATAAATTTTGCACGTTTTTGAAAATACAAACTTTTGTAAAGGTATTCTGTACATTTATATTAAAGTTACTTACCACAAACACTATTTTAAAAAAAGAAATGGATAGGTATCTTAATTTTGTTTGTATTCACCAGCTATATTTAGCAAATTTCTAAAAATTACTAGGTTCTATTCTTGGGTAATGGCTTCAAGAGGGTTTTTTTTTTTTTTAGGCCTACACACTTTCTTTGCAGTGTGTAAAGAAAGAGTTGCTTTTCAAGCTGTTGATTTTTTTTCATTAAAAACCACGAAAACACATAATATTACATAATTCCTGAGCTCCCTCTACTGGAATTTTTTTTTTGTCTTTTTTGTGACCGGTAAGGGGATCGCAATCCTTGGCTTGGTGTCCGCACCGCCCTCAGCCAGCGAGCACACCGGCCATGCCTATATAGGATCCGAACCTGCGGCAGGAGCGCACCCAGCGCCGCACTCTCCCAAGTGCGCCACAGGGTCGGCCCCTCTACTGGAATTTTAACATGAAAAAAATTACTTGAATTTCATTGTTACAGAGATGTTTCACTAGTATTAGTGTATAGCTTTTACAGAGCTGTTCTTCTTTCTTCCCTGCACCTCCTAAGCTTTTATGAAGGATCTGTAAATGAAAATGTACTGTAGCATGGGATTTTTGAAATTTATTGTAAAATGGGGGAAAGGAGCAGTATTAGAATACTTAAATATTATAAATTTACTGATAAGTCAGTATTTGATACCTTGACTATTAAAATTTATTTCAGAATTTATGGAGATAAAAAGTTAGGATTTATTTAGCGGTTTTTCCTTTTGGTTGCTTGTGTTTATAACAGAAAGTCGATTGTTTCTAATAACTTTGCAATTTCCCCTGTTTGTTAGATCTTTCAAAGGCTGATTTATGCAGATAAGCAAGAAGTTCAAGGAGATGGTCCATTTCTGGATGGAATTAATGTCACAATAAGAAGAAATTATATTTATGAAGATGCTTATGATAAACTTTCCCCAGAAAATGGTATGTGTAATTCTCTATGTATGTACATGACAAGGGGAGGTTGGGGAATCATTTTAGAAAATGGAGGTCATTAAAAAAATTAGTGTTCATCATCTTGTTTTATAATGACGTTTTAAAAATGAAACGTAGGTCAGATTTGGGAGATATATCAGATAGTACAAGGTACTTCAAAGCATTTGTGGAAAAATAAAATTAAGAAAAATACAAATCTTTCCATGAACTTTTTGAAGAACCTTCATATTCCCAAAACTGACAGTTACTACATAAGAAACCTTTTTAAATATTGATCTGCTTTTAAAGGCAAGAAACTAACACCTCCCCCCACCCAATTGTCCATCTCTAAAATTTCATTTACAACCTATAATTCCAAAAATGTTGGTGGCAGTCATTTACCTTCTGTATCTTTTATATAAATATATATTTATGTAAATATCATAAATTGTAAACCAAATTAAATATACCAAAATAAATGTCATTGCAATCCAAATTTCTTTATAAAAAGACAAGTGCTTCAATGACAGTACTATTAGTAAGTGAATTACATTGTAACAATAACTGGAGTGGCATTTGGAGGTCAGTGACCCATGTTCTGTCTCATGTTAATATTTGACTCTTACCGTTTAAAGTTTACTTATATAGTAGCAGTCTTAACTTCACAATATCATGTTCATGATGCAGCATTAAATCAGTGTTGAATCAGTGCAGAGGGGATTAAAAATGAAAGCTTATGCAGAATCTAAAATTTAAAATGAAAGCTTGTGTTCAGATCTTTGAGAGATGGTAGGTTGTCAGCTGTGAAATAACAGTTGCCTTTTCTTTCTGGGGAGCAATTTAATTTTCTTCTAGGAAAACAAAACCTAGTTTTCAATAATTTTTACTGCTTAGATAGAGAGCTAATTTTGTCATAATGTGGGAATAGTGAAGGAGAGGTAACATCAGTTGTTCCCCTACTCTATTCCAGGTTTTTGTAATTTACTCTTGTCATTTAATCTATACTATGGTCCTCTGAAGCCCAGTACTGGAGTTCTAACTCAAGTCTGAGTACAGGCTGTGAACTCTCCACCATGCCAGGTTTTCTTGTCTAAGATATTTTGATTTCAAAATATTAAATGTGGGGGCCGGCCCGGTGGCGCACTGCTACAGTGCGCCACTTGGGAGCGCGGCGGCGCTCCAGCCGAGGGTTCGGATCCCACATACAGACCAGTTCCCACTCACTGGCTGAGCGAGGTGCGGGTGCAACACCGAGGGTTGCGATCCCGTTGCCGGTCCCGGTCCGGGCGCAACACTGAGGGTTGCGATCCGTTGCAGGACACGAAAAAAGACAAAAAGGAAAAAAAAAATTAAATGTGAAAGAGTTGAAATCAAGTAGTCTGACTAGTCTAACTGATCATCTAATTGGGGACTGAGCGTACTTTCAAAAAAAAATAGTTCTCCCTTCTTTGAGATCCCACAGTATCTCATACTATACCAGTTGGTAGTTCTTACATTGTGATATTTTATTAGCTGATTTCATTTTTATCTCCCCCTTGTCTGAGGTCCTTATGGCCTGGGATGGAATGAATCATTTACTCTTTGGTCAGTGCACATGGATGTTTATTGAATTTATGATTAAACCCTGGGAAAAACATATCAATAGGACAAAACAATAAATTTGCAAATGATCAGCACAGTGTTTAGAGAAGAGTGAGATGCTCAGTGTTGGAGGTCTTTGTGAGGCCCCTGAGAAGGAGGAGGGAGCCTCATGGGTGAGGTTCCAGCAGAGGGCATGGGTGTTCCTGCAGTGGCTCATTCTGCACTTCAGTGACAGGAGGCCCCTGAGAAGGAGGAGGGAGTCTCATGGGTGAGGTTCCAGCAGAGGGCACGGTTGTCCCTGCAGTGGCTCATCCTGCTCTTGGATGACAGGAGGCCCCTGAGAAGGAGGAGGGGAGTCCTGTGGGTGAGGTTCCAGCAGAGCGCACGGGTGTACCTGCAGTGGCACATCCTGCACTTGAGGGACAGGCTTTTGTGGAGGCCAGGATGTGTGGATGTGTGAGCTCTGCAGCCACAGTGAAAATATTAGCTTATTTATCAGTGATTTTAAATTAACTGCGAAAACTGTTTCATGTAGGTGAGTTTTAGGACATTACCGCCCAGTTAACTCCAAATTTCCTAATGAATCCTTAAACTTTAAAAATTATTCAGAGCTGATCATACCCCAACTCCCTAAGTGCATGCTGATAATTGCACTGAGCTTAAAGGATGTGGAAAAACTTTCTCATAATATTTGTGTTAAAATGCTTAAAATCTTTACAAGATGTTCTGTAATTCAGGCTTTATTAATAATTTTTAAGCCATGTGTTAAAATTGTTTGGTATTTGCTAGGCAAATTAATAAAATTAAGTATCATCTCAGAGCATTTAATTTACTTATGAGAAAATCATTTGACCTGCTTTGTTGACTGAGCATTTACATATGACCAGTTAATGTGATTATTCCATATATCATCTAGTTATTAAAGTAAATCCATCCTTTAAGGGTGCTCAGTATCTCATTTCATCTCAGCACTTTTCTGAAGTGGAGGCATTAGTTCGCCCCATTTTACAAACAGGTTGACACAATGGATCTCAGAGAAGTCGATTGCTTCTGCAGTCAGGCACAAGGTGAGCACAGACTGGGGTCACTAACTCTTTTCCCACTGCACTACACTGCCTTGTTGCGGTATTGTGCCATGTAAGAGTGTGGTTTGAACATGAACTTCTCCACATGGAGAATATGGAGAAAAAGTCATATGTACTTATGAGACTGTTGTGTGACTTGTAAAGACAGTATGTGCAGTATACCTGCTACAGGCCCCGGTGCTCCGTAGTAAGGTCCTCGTGTCTTTCACTGTCACAGGAGAGAATGTGGCAGAGCTGGCTGTGACCTGTCCTGTGGTCGGTTCCTGAGAGCCTCACTTATCTGTGCTTTTGTTGATTGATTTGTTTTGTTTCACTTAATGGACAGAATTAATTACATTGTTTTGCTGAAGAGAAAATGGTAATAGGGTAAAATCAAATGAATATTTTCCATGGCTTTTTTCACTAAAACCTTCCTGTGTAAATAGGTTTTTATAATCTATCCATAGAAACAAGTAGTGGCAAGATACCTAGAAGGCTAGATTTGATTCTGAAAATATTATTGTGCTATTATTGTATATTGCTCTTTACAGAAATGAGCTTCAGGAAACCACAGAATCTCAATTCTAGCCATAATTAAAGGGCTGCCTTTTGTGAATGGCCATTGAGGTTCCTGGAGAGAGTGACACCGCCTCCCCCTTGAATATTGGTGTTACATTTTGAGAGGGTTAAAGGATGAACTGTGGTTGAACATTTCCCACTTACAAAGTTTTTATACTTACAATGTTTACAAAATCTGCTGCTGCTAACCCCTGATAATCAGGTTGTGAGATATTATACGTGACAAGTAAACGTTTGTATTTCTTTCTTAAAATTGGGTATTGCGAGGATATATGTAAAGGTAAGAAATACCAAATGTATTTTTGTGTTGCATCTATAATTAGCTGATTGGACTTTTTTTGGAATTTTATCTAGAACTTGAGATTGAACATATTTCGTAATCATATTAATCAAAATAGATGCAAATAACATGTTAGTGGAATTTAATTATCAGTGAAAAGCATATTTTTATATAAGCATAGTGAAGCTAAAGAAATTGAGTGTTTTAGTGGAAAAGCACCATAGGCTTAAATTATGTCACCACTACCTGTTACAATATTGACTATGTGACTTTAGAATAAATCATTTATCCTTCCTTGTCCTTGGTTTTCTCACTGCAAAATGGAGATAATTCTTAATCCAGAAGGTCATTAAAGGATTTGAAGTAATACATATAAGTTTTGTAGCATAAATTGTAGCTCGGGGTAAATAATCAGTGGTAGCTGTTGATATTACTTAAAGCATGAGAGCAAGCTGTAACCAAAATAGTTTGGGTATGTCCACCTGTCTTCCAAAGGAAATGTGGGAATCGGCACAGAGGTCACGCGCTTGGGAGTCTGCTGGCCGTGCACAGTGACCCTTTCTTGGGCTTGCTCAGTGAACAGCAGAGTTGTCACTCCTATGTGTGGGGACTGTAAACCTCAGTCGATAACGCTGAATTATATTTGAAAACATAGAATATTTATATTCCAGGTACTATAACTTCAAAATTACTGACATTTGTACAAAGTAATACTGAGAAAAGCAGGTTTTTGAGGAGATTGCCTAGAGGCTCTACCAAGTATGCATTCTGCTAAACCCCTTTTCCAGATGTTTCTAGAGGTCACCTGCGCCTGAGATGCTCCAGGTCACATATGTTTGGGTGATTCTGCACACTCATATGAAAGATAGCAGCAGCACACGAAGCCCGGGAAGGTTGCTTTTCTACCTCCCTGACTTGGCACAGCAGCACGCCCCCAACTCCCCTCCCTCCGCATCCCCTACCTCCTCTTCCCCTCCCTCCTACTTCTCTCTCTGTTCCCTCCTCCTTTCTCCTCCCCTCTATTCCCCCCTCCCCAGTTTTTTTTTTTTTTTTGCAAAGCACCTGCAGAACATTCTTGGGAAAGGATAAAGGACATTTCAACTCTGTTCCCTCCTCCTTTCTCCTCCCCTCTATTCCCCCCTCCCCAGTTTTTTTTTTTTTTTGCAAAGCACCTGCAGAACATTCTTGGGAAAGGATAAAGGACATTTCAGTGACTTTCTCAAACCTGTTCTCTGATCCATCCTGTCCATCAGAGCACATCTTACTTGGCACACCTTTTTTTTTTTTTTACTTTTGATAGGATCACTTTTATTGACTTGTATTTGGGGATTATATCCTGAAGCTTATGTTGAAGTCCTGTTGTATTCATTGCAAGTGAGTCCACGGACATATTATTCCTACTTAGGAGGACCTGTGTGAGAAATTTCACTCACGTATCAGAAACAGTTGAGCAGCCTCGTAATATAAAAAAAAAATTAATTTAATCTTTGCAGCAAATTATATAACCAGTAATTCTCCCCTTTTGTCAGCCGAATATAGCCGAATGAAGATTTTGGAATACTGACTCTTCCCAAGAGTTCCTGTATCACTCACCACATTCAGAGGTTCTCTGTAATGTTAACTTCATCAGCATCTTCTTTATTCATTTTTCTTGGGGACGATGATATATGTTCCAGTATCATCCACTCTGCTACTCTGCGAGCATTTTAGTCTGTCATATTCATTAGAACATGGGAGATAATTTTATCTTTTTCCTGAACACCACCCCTCTTTTCTCCATTCTTGACATATTAATGTAAGGGAACTGCTTTCTCTCTTTTTCCATTGTAGGCTCTGGGGAAGATCTTGGTCAGTCTGTCTCATCTCTTTTTATAATTTCATTGCTGTTTTGAGACGTGCATTAAAACATCTCTAAATATTCTCGCTCCTCTTCCCTAAGACTCTGTGATACAGGTTGAGCATCTCTAATCCGAAAATCGAAAATCTAAACTGCTCCAAAATCCAAAACTTTTTGAGTGCCAACATGACATTCAAAGGAAACACTCATTGAAGGATTTTGGATTTTGGATTTTCAGATTAAGGATATTCAACCAGTATGTATTCTGCAAATACTCCAAAATCCAAAACACTTCTGGTCCCAAGCATTTAGGATAAGGGATACTCAACCTATACTAGTTTATTTAATTGCTTTCTTTTAACATCTTTTCTCCTTGCCCTCTCTCATTTTGGACAGAGCCCGATTTGAAGAAGCGGATCCGTGTGCACTTGCTCAATGCCCATGGCCTGGATGAAGCTGGCATTGATGGCGGTGGTATCTTCAGAGAGTTTTTAAATGAACTACTGAAATCAGGATTTAACCCCAACCAGGGGTTCTTTAAGACTACTAATGAAGGGCTTCTGTACCCTAACCCGGCTGCTCAGATGCTTGTGGGAGATTCTTTCGCCAGACATTACTACTTCCTAGGCAGAATGCTTGGAAAGGTAAAGCAATCTTTATTTAAAAATAGATGTCAGACCAAAAGATGTTGACATTTTGTGTTTCCGTATGGTTGTTGTCGAAGTTTCATGGATGGTCTTTATTTAGTGAACCTTGAATAGAACTTTTTTACATAGTAACTACAGTTCATCATTATATATTACATGCACAGTAATTATATACAAAAATTATTGGCGTAGTGTGGAAAACATGGGCAACATGATAAAATTCTACCTATACAAGCATGTTGTGTGTGCTGTAAATATTTTAAGTCTTTTCATGGTTACTCTTATTGATAATGTTAAAAGTGAATATTTAAGGTTCTGTACAATTTTAAAATGCTGTGAGATGGAAGATCATAGTTATTTAGTATGGCTTAAGTGTTAATACATACTGTATGCAAATTCTGCGAAAATTTTACATTTAAGGATATTCCGGTAATGCACTAGTTACCAGAGTCTGCCAACCATTTGTACAAACTGGACTTAGGCTTTATTGTAAATGAAAGGGAAAAAATTAATTATACAATCTAGTGGGAAGTTCAAATTTAGTGGTTAAATGTTCGTAGTACTCCCCATTCAAGTCAGGAGGAAGATATGGACACACACTGGTGCCAGTCCTCTTCATTTCTCAACTGATGGTCCCAGCCTGGGGGAGTGTCATGGTGTGTCATGGGGAGACCAGGAGGAGACAAGATTTTGTGTAAACCAGGGGTGACTAACTGTTCCCCCATGGGTCAGGTCCAGTCCAAAATGTCTTGTTGGTTTTTCTTTTTAGTTGTTACTCGCATTTATAAGTGGGGAAGTTTTACATACAAGTTTTTATTTCTAGGTTATGTTGTTTGTTTTATTTTAGTTACTTCTTTGAAGTTTTAAGTAAATTTAGTATTGGTGATTACTAATCCTAGAAGAAGAATGTGGCTAGCCAGTAAAGTCAGGAATTGAAATTCATGCCTAAACTGTTCTGAACATGGGAGAGGGGGGAAATAATCTAAGTTATTTCCATGGGAAATTGCAAATTAATGATTCCTGATTTTTCTTCAAATGATGGTAATTGTGAGATAGAGAGAGAGGGCGTGGTGGTTTGGGGGATGTTTATAAGGATTCCCACGGTATTCAAACTCTTAAATACTCACTAGAATACTCACGAACCTGGATCCACTTTCAGAAGACATCTTTCTCATATTATTTCCTTGTTTGTTTTCATTATTGGTTATGTTTCTTGCAGTGTCAAAGAAAGATATAATATATCTGCTACTTTAAAGTAGCATTGCATAGTGCATATGACATAATCATTAAAGAGATTATTGTTAAATAAAATTAGGGCTGGCCAGTTAGCTCAGTTGGTTAGAGCGCAGCCTTGTGACTCCAAGGTCAAGGGTTCAAATCCCCAAACTGGCCAGCTGCCAAAAAAACAAAACAAACAAACAATAAACCAATAAACCGTCTTACCTGTTTTGAATGCATCCTTGGTGTATTGCTATATAAGTAGGTAAAAGTTTTTATATTTTAGTGGAATTTGTTAGTGTTTTTTGGGTAGCTTGGAAATGCATTTTTATTTCCCATGTTTAAAATAGTTGAAGACAGGTGCCTCATAGTCAGTATTCATGCTCAGCACATTTTTAGAGACAGATTGAGTTGGGCCACAGGACTGTAATCAGTGCGTATGGCTCCTGCAAGTCAAAGTGTGGCCAGAAGTGGCACTTCGGAGCAGTGGCCAGCAGACTACAGCCACTGGACCAAGTCCACCCACCCATTCTTTTGTTTAAATAAAAAAAAAGAAGAAAGAAAAAACTGTTTTATTGGAACACAGCTAGGCCTGGTTACCTGCGTGTGTTCATGGCTGCTTTCCAGATATGGCAGAGTTGAAGTGTTTGTCATCTGACCTTTCACAGGAGGCCTTTGCCAGCTGTGCTGTGGAACTAGGACGACAGGCAAATCATAACAGCCTTAGTGTTCCATGATGAGAAGTTTGGGCTGTATCTTATGGGTAGTAACTCAGGTGATAGACCTACTACATTTTTAAGGGGACATTCTGGTTACCATGAGGAAAATAGATTTTAGAGGATAAAACTCAAAGTAGAAGAGATAAGAATCTGGTCCATCGGTGTAGGTCATAGGTGGCCCAAATTACGGTAATGTCATGCTTTCCGTGAGAAGAGCCAGGTAGTAGGAGGACTGAAATTTGACCACTGGTTCATCAGCAGGTTTTTGTTTATTGGTGATTTTTTTGTTAAAACAGTTTTATGGAGTTGTGATTCACATACCGTGCAATTCCCCCATTTGTGTGTGTGGTTCAGTGGTTTTAGCATAGTCACAGAGTTGTGCAGCCTTCACCACCATCGATTTTAAAACATTTTCGTCATCCATATCCATTAACTCCTTTCCCCTGCAACCCTAGGCAAACAGTAATCTACTTTTAGTTTCTACAAATTGACTTGTTCTGGCCAATTCGTATAAATTGAACTGGCTTCTTCCCCTTAGCGTGATGTTTTCGAGGTTCATCCAAGTTGTAGCATTTATCAGTACTTAATTTCCTTTTATTGCCAAGTAATGCTTCATATGCCACATTTATTTGTTCGTTTGCCAGTTGATGGGCATTTGGTTGTCCTTGCAGTGTCTTTCATGGCGTGGTATGACAAAAATGTGTTTGCTTCAGGTTGAGGAACAAGAAGTGGAAGGCACAAAAATGGAAAGGGACATGGATGGCCTTTTTCAGAAGATGTGGCTCTGAGGGAAACGGGAGGGAGGGTCCCTAGAGAAAGAGCAAGTCCCAGGAAAGAGTGGGCAGGCGGCTTTCAGGGACTGGGGAGTGTCCCTGATAAGGGACCAATGAGAGGGGCAGTTTGGGACACAGGAGAAGACTCAGCAGAGATGCCTAGAGCCCTGTTTTCTAGAACTCCCAACAGGGTGGATGCAAGCAATCACGTTAGGACACAGGGACGACAGTGAGCGTTGGAAGAGATGGCCACTTCCTTAACCATTACAGCCACCGTGAGAACGTCTTGCACACTCCCACACACACACATCCGTCCAACGACACAATTTCTGGATTTCTATTATGAGGGCAAGGGAGAAAGAAAACGAACAAAATATTATATAAGCAAAATATTATAGCAGATCCCAAGAATAAAGAAGCATTCTAAATTCAAGATAAAGAATTCTTTGGGCATTCAGGCAGAGAGATCAAATCACCTTTAAGGAAGAAGAATTCAGTGTGGGCTCTGACTTAGGAGCAACAGGGCACACTGAAAATACAGTAGAGCAGGGGCCAGATAGTAAACATTTTAGGTTCTGAGGGCCATACCGTCTATGTTGCATATTCTCCTTTTTAAATGTAAAACCCTTTGAGTACTATTTAAGAACGTGGAGCCGTTCTACACGCTCAGTGTGTAGTGATGGTCACAAGCTGTGGCTTGAAAGCCCTGTACTCATACCATGTGGTCACACATGGCTCCATCTGGTGTTCTTGCTGGTGGGGCTGTCCTCTGAGACAGCTCCCCAGTCTGTCTAAAGTGTGACAAGGGGAGTGAACAGCTACAGCAGATCTCCTGCTATCGTTCTTCCTCGTTTCTGGATTACGTAATTGAAAATTGTCCTGAATTGTAAGGCAGTCAGCTTTTAAAAATGTATCATTTGCTGTAAGAACATAAATGTGAATGTTCTAATCCAGGTTTCTTTGATGTTTTAAATGCCCATGCTTATAAGACTATAAAGTATCTTCTGTAAACGCTAATTTCATACTATTGTGTCCATTAAAAAGACATACTAACTGACTTAATAGCAATGTTTAGTTATAATTAGCAATATTTTGTTTATAAACTTATGACATTTGAGCTTATAAAATATATTTAAACTAATAAAATATGGATTTTCATGTTTTATGTATTAGAGCTTACCGCAAAATATTATTATTTAAAAATCAGATGCTGAGTGTTCTAAAACGACTACAATAAACAGAGATTAGGCTGTTTTTCATTTACATGGTTGAGTAGGTTACTGCTTAGTGACTGTTTGCTAGGGCTGCCACAACAAACTACCACAAATTTGAGTGGCTTTAAAAAAAAAAAATTTATTCTCAGTTCTGGAGGCCAGAGTCCAAAATCAAAAACATCAGCAGGGCTGGTTTCTTTATAGAGGCTCTGAGGGAGACTCTGTTTTGTGCTTCCTCTTGTCTTCTGGTGTCACTCACAGTCCTTGGTGGTCCTTAGTCTGTAGGTTCATCACTCCAGTCTCCGCTTCTGTTCTCTTGTGGCCTTCTCCTTGTGCGTCTGCATTCAACTTTCCCTCCTTTTATAGGGGCACCAGTAATTGGGTTAGAGCCCACCCTAATCCAGTCTGACCTCATCTTAACTTGATCATCTGCAAAGACCCTATTTCCAAGGAAGGTCATATTCACAGTTTAGGACTTGAGCTTATCTTTTGGGGGAGGTGGTTCTACCTGCTATAGTGACATTGAGCCCAAATGGTAAATTGAACGCCTGCTATGCATACGAAGGTCATATTCACAGTTTAGGACTTGAGCTTATCTTTTGGGGGAGGTGGTTCTACCTGCTGTAGTGACATTGAGCCCAAATGGTAAATTGAACGCCTGCTATGCATAAAGCTGAATATTCAAGGATTATTAACTAGCTTTATCATCCTTAAATAAATAATTAGGAAATTAATGTTGCTGCTGTAATTATTCTCTTCAAGAATAAATCAGAACAGTTCATCATTTTCAGCTTTGTAACAAAACTCCTTTATCACATTGGCTGTTCTGTTCTCTGTAGTACAGTCCTGTCGCTGTTAACCTCGGAGTGTGGTCTAGGAAGCTGCCCACTCAAGAAGTAACCTAATTAAAAATCAGTGCCTGCAAAACAGATGACGTATGCTCTTGTGACTTATTTTACATAATAGCTTTATTGAAATATAATTCACATTTTATAAAATTCAGCCTTTTAAAGTGTATAATTCAGTTGTTTTAACGTATTCACTGAGTTGTGCAGCCATCATCACTATCTATT